AACACACGCACACACTTTACGTACAGTATTTTATTCTGTTTATTTTTACAGGGACAATGCACACCAATCAACAATATTGATCATTCGAGCAAAGCCATCATTGTAAATGTGCCATGTTACAACCGTCCCAGGTGGTCCGTGTTACAACCGTCCCAGGACCACCAGTCATGTTTTCACCCCCTGTGAACCTGCCTGATTGCTAGCTTGACCCATATTTAGCTAGTTATATGTTTACCTTACAAAACAGTGATTCTAATAATATTAGTTTGGATTCCTAGACATTTGAACTCAAGACAGTATCCAAAAAATACATCATATAATTTTTGTTAATGTTTTACCTCAGAAACACCCTTTTGCTGATATCTTTCGCGACAGATTTAGACGTGGCTCCTTTTTTCACAGCAATCTTTCCATCTAACTGAGCATGTGCAGAGTGAGTTTCATCACTCTAGCTCAGGGGTCGGCAACCTTTTTGATATGAAGTGCCATTCTAAAAAAAATGTTTTATCAGCGTGCCGACGATCGTGAATTATCAACGGGGGGGGTGGGTTTGAAGAGCTCGACGAAAACACTCGTGAAAAGTGATGTTTAAAACTCAGTTAATGGGGCTCATTCACTGGCGCTTCCACAAACAACAACCAACATAATTGTTACATTCAAATGAAGTAGCCTACATTATTCAAGTTTACATTAACTTTGGATAATAACACGGGAGAAATGAGCTGAAGCGCTCTCTTTTCCTCTCTCCCCCTCTCTCTCTCCTGACAGCCTGTCAGTATCTCATGCAGCTCACTGATCCAGTAATGAGTGAGTGAAGAATAAATATATGTATAACTAGTTCCAAAGGTAGATAAAATAGCTAAGTGTGTTAGGTCTAACTCTTGTGTGTTCTGCTCCGCTCACCGGTCCGTCACAGCGGGTGGAGCTGCAGGATTTATGCTTCACACACGTTGCAAACCGCTATTTTATTGTCATTTTCGGACACCTTAAAATACTGCCAGACTGGTGAAGCGATTTTTTTGCGAGCTTGTTTTGCCGCACACAGAGAAAAGTGTCATGTATGTTACGCCTCGCGATCGGCCTTTTTAGAGAGCACCGATCGATCGGCAGAGAGTGAGTATCGGCCGATATCGATCGCCACGCAAAAACTGTGGCATTTTTACAGCTCCTTATGGGTAATGTAATTTGTGAAGTGCTTTCCTCTGTGGTGAAACTATCAGCCCTGCACCACGGAGGAAAACGGCAGAAAGTCGCCTGGAGTTAAAGAGAGTGGGGCTGCGTTGCGTGCATGGCTTCCTTCTGCAGGTAACGGGGAGACGCGCTCTGGCGGCGGTCTCGTTCAGGATCTGAAAATAAAATAAATATTTTGTACACTTATTCCACTTATTCCTAGTGTGCCACTGGTTACGGTGCCGCGTGCCATTGGTGGCACGCGTGCCAGGGGTTGCCGACCCCTGCTCTAGCTGGTTTGTGATTGGAGATATTGAAGGCGTTACAACTGTCCCGTGTTACAAGTTACAACCATAGGCTACTTGCCAACCTTGAGACCTCAGAAATCGGGAGCATTTCAAAACCACCGCGGGGGGGGGGGGGAGCTGTCAGATTAACATTAACATTAACATGCTTATTGTAGTTGTAAGTGCAATGCCTTGCGGCCTGTATCACCATCCTCGATGGAGCATACGTGTGGGCAGGAAAGGAGTGAGCAGAGGTTCTAGTTGTCGCTTCTTGTTCTGTTTTCTGTGATTATCTTCCTCACCCTCTCAGACTTTCAGTTGCGCGCGCTACTAACTAAAGAGACACGCTACCATGGAAACTAGAGATGGGCGAGTCCTGATTCATCCGGATCATTAACCCGGATCCTAGAAATGAGCTGGTCGTGACGAGTCTCCCCTCTCCATTAACCCGAGTCCTTGAGTCCCACACTTGGTGTGACGTACAAATTAAAACTATAAATTGCGTCACTCGCTACTCTCTTTATAACATGTAAAATCACATTACAACGTACCCCAGTCCATCTACCTACCCTTTAGCAAGTATACAGGATAGCTGCCTGCCAGAAGTTATCGTTTGGCTCAGGGGAGGGGACACGGATCAGTGAAACTTCCTGCAGACTCGTGGGGACTCAGAGGAGCCGACGGCTCCTAACCGTAATAGCATAGCAGATCCAGAGATCCATACTCGTCATGTGCACGAGCATAGCCCCTCCTCCAGCACCCGGCTCCCGCGCTATCAACAGCAGACTCGCAGACTCGCAGATTCGCAGATTCGCAAATCCTGACTCGCTGTGCAACACACAGCAGAGCAGACTCGTGCGGACTCGGAGCCGTAACCATATAGCAGCAGATCCAGAGATCCAGCAGACTCGTCCTCATGTACGAGTCAACAGCAGACTCAGATTCGCAAATCCTGACTCACTGTTCAACACACAGCAGAGCAGACTCGGAGCCGTATATAGCAGCAGATCCAGAGATCCAGCAGACTCGTCCTCATGCACGAGTCAACAGCAGACTCAGATTCGCAAATCCTGACTCACTGTTCTGCAACACACAGCAGAGCGGACTCGGAGCCGTATATAGCAGCAGATCCAGAGATCCAGCAGACTCGTCCTCATGCACGAGTCAACAGCAGACTCAGATTTGCCAAATCGCAAAATAACCCTTTTTTTTGTGATCAACATTTTTTATTAAAGCAAAATACACTGTGTAGCGGAGGTTAATATAACGTCAGTTTAATAGATAGATAGATAGATAGTACTTTATTGATCCCAAATTGGGAAATTGTTGTTGTTACAGCAGCATAAGGCATTTTACAATAAAACAAAACTACAAAATATACAAGAATAGAAAGAAAAATAAAATAAAATATAAAATATAAAATATACATGTCGAAATAGAAAATATACATACAGATATTACATATATATATATATATATATATATATATATATATATATATATATATATATATATATATTCAAAATATATGGAATAATAATATGCTCGTGAAATGCAACAACTTTTCGGTTTCACCGATAGGATTTCTACGGTCTTGGTGATGCTGACTCATATGACTCAAATGACTCGTATGATCCGGATCTCTTCAATGACTGACTCAGAAGACCCTGAGTCCGTAAAAGGATCCGGATTTGTCATCTCTGATGGAAACCAAACAATGGTGTAGCTGTATTAAAGTCCGAGTGGAAACAGTCGTGAGTAAATCGGATTTTGTCAGAAATCGGGAGAAATATAACCCCGGGAGGAAACCGGGAGAGGGCAATGAAATCGGGAGTCTCCCGCGAAAATCGGGAGGGTTGGCAACTGTCCCTGGTCTCCTACAAACGCTATTGGCCAACTCCATCACTCCATTTCATCATCACATGTGTTTTTATTAGGGCTGTCAGTCGATTAAAATATTTAATCGCGATTAATCGCATGATTGTCCATAGTTAATCGCGATTAATCGCAAATTAATCGCACATTTTGTATCTGTTCTAAATGTACCTTAGAGGGATATTTTTCAAGTTTTTAATACTCTTATCAACATACGAGTGGACAAATATGCTGTATATGTTTGTTTATTATCATTTGAACAATGACAAATATTCTCCTGAATATTAAACACAACAACCTCTGAACATTACAAATATTCGCCTCAATTCAACCTAGAACCTCTCTCATACAATAATACTGTGTGTGTGTGTGTGTGTGTGTGTGTGTGTGTGTGTGTGTGTGTGTGTGTGTGTGTGTGTGTGTGTGTGTGTGTGTGTGTGTGTGTGTGTGTGTGTGTGTGTGTGTGTGTGTGAGTGAGTGAATGAATGAATGTGGAGACACTGTGATGGATCGTTGGAGCTATGTGCAGCTCAAGGCATCTATGCTCGAACGGGAGCTGCCTGGACGCTGCAGTCATGTTGCGCGCACTATCCGTGCTGAGTGTGCTGACTTCCCATCAGGAAGTGTCTCACTGTCTGGCTACCTGCATAAAGTCAAGTGCTCGGCGCAGTTGTCGGCGAAATGTCATTGAAACAGCTCCTTATATCCGTTAGCGCAGCTAGCTAGCACCAGATGCTAACAACAACAACACGTAAGGTGTGCCTCGCTCGCGCGAGTCGCGCCACACATACACACTCCCTCCCGGTCCTCCCGATGGCCTGTCCGGGCCTGCCAGTGAGCGTGGAAGTGTGGTCTGCCACAAGCGGGCGGCAGGAGCCGGGCTGTCAGCATCAGCTTGTAGATGGTATTTTACACTCGATGCGCTCTCAAACTACGGCGGCCGAGGACAAAAAATACACATGCGTTAATCGCGTTAAAATAATTAGTGGCGTTAATTTTTTTTTGCGTTAACGCGTTATTAACGCGTTATTAACGCGTTATTAACGCGTTATTAACGCGTTATTAACGCGTTAACTTGACAGCCCTAGTTTTTATATACAAAGCGACTTTCTAATGTTCTACGGCATCAGCTCCACCTCCCTCAGTAGACTCCAGCGTGTCCAGAACGCAGCCGCCAGACTCCTCACCCACACCAAATCATGGCATCACATCACCCCGGTCCTCAAAGAACTCCACTGGCTTCCCGTCTCTCACCGCATCCACTACAAACTCCTGGTCCTCACATACAAAGCCCTCCACCATCTGCCCCCCCCCCTACCTGCACTGACCTCCTCATCCTCTACCAACCCCCCCGGTCCCTCAGATCCACCTCAGCCGGTTTGCTTTCCACCCCCAAGGCCAAACTCCGGAGCCCTGTCTGTCGTTTGTCTTCGCCTGTCTCCCCCCCCCCCCTTCCAAACTGTAAAGCGACTTTGAGACTTGAAAAGCGCTATATAAATTCAATTTAGTATTATTATTATTAATGTTGGACACTTTTCCCAGTTATACATGATGATAAGATAACGGAGGGGGACCTTCTGGCTCAGAAGAACCCCCAGACTGATGTCCCTGGTCATTCAAAGTCAGCGCAGGAGGACACAATCATGCAACAGGTTTAAAGTCACTTACTTTAAAGGTGAGTTCTCCAGTAGATGATCTGTAGTTTAAGATGACCGTTCAACCAGTGGAGTTTCTGTTTCCCAACCGGACAAAGTTGGATTCTGTCTCAGAGTTTAATCTTTCTTTCTTTTGTTGATTTAAAGTGTGGCAGCTGTACTCACTGGCACATGTGCACTCACTTTGACACTGAGCACCGCATGTCTATAAATGGAGCTCATATCCTGCCTGCCTGCCCACCCCACACACACACACACACACACACACACACACACACACACACACACACACACACACACACACACACACACACACACACACACACACACACACACACACACACACACACACACACACAGTCTGAAGGTTTGATAGAACCTCATATCTCCAGTGGTTGTAGAACTTGAATGTGTGTATTATAAGGATGTACTTTTCTTATTCACTTGTCACTCTAAGTGTGTCCTTCCTGAATAGCACCTGTCACCAGTGACACTGACATATGGGGGGGGGGCTTACTCACTAGTCCCACCATGTGGTTAGCTGCAGTATGATCAGCTTTGAAACATTTATTTCTAACATTGTTGAACACCTAATTATACAATTTAACTGTAAATAAATGAGCTTATATTGTATATACAGTCTTTGTCCCACCAACACAGTAAATGGGCCTCAGCCAATCAGAGGGACTGTAGTATGTAGTGTTCAAAGGCATAACACCTGACCCCAAATTGCTCCCTATAGGCACGTTAACTGTATGGAAGTGAAAGTAAATCGCTTTGGATAATAGTCTGGACGTTTTACATGTTGTAAATGTTGTACTCAAGCCAGCTCATTGGATTAAAATTATATTTTAATTTTTAAAAAACGGCATACTTCTGTAATGTATATAGTATCACATGTATATATTTTGTACTTGTTCTACTGGTCTATAAGAGTATAAAAATGTATGTTGAATTTTATAGTGTATTCTTAAGATACTATTTTGATATATATCTTTTGTACTGTTGATTTGTATATATTTACTGTTCATGGTTATTTTTTATTATATTTTAACTCGTGTAATACCTGTTAACCTTCTGCTGAAGATGAATGAATGAATAAAGTTGATGTTATCTAATATGAACTCATCACACGCTTGCACTCGTGCTGCCATTTTTCACATACAAGCGGGAAATTCTGAACTTCAACACTAACCACTGCTGAGGTTTTTATTTGATCTAGTATCTATATTGGAGCTTTTTTATCTTGTCAAACAATTACAGCACAATAAGATTCTGGCCCATATTATTTATTCTTCTTTTAGTCCTGTAACATCATTTTCAAAGACACCAAACTCTTTAACAGCAGAATGAACTAGAAAATAGTTACAAAATAAAATATACAAAATGGTGCTCCTTCATTGAGCTTCAGTAAAATGATAGTTGTTGGTGAGAGGGAGACAGATATGACGTCATCATTATTAACTTCTTCAATTCAACCTTTATTCAAACAGGTGAGTCAGCCAGGTACAACTTTCATTTAATGTGACAGTCTGGAACCAAAAACCCTTTCACTCATGTTCATCCTGAAGATGTGTGAGCTAACAACTACAACAATAACAATAAAGAACGCTGTAAACAAAGTTGGTATGTGTTTCTTCTGTTAAAACAAAAAAATATATATATATTGCAACAAACATCTCTCTCAGTCGTTTTGCAGTTTTCAAGCTATTGTGTGATTCATTGAGCAACAATAAAAAATAAAGCAAAACTACGGGTAGCTAAAGGTACAGTATGTCTATATGTTTAAATAATGATCTGGCAGTAGTAATTAAAACAACAATTTAAATAAAATAAAACACAAAAGCCACAAACTGCCAAACAGTCAAATGATTTTCTATTCTAAAGAACCAGCTTAATGTTTTTGTCATTAATGGTGTCAAAGAGCCTATGAATAACTATATGGGCCAATTTGAGGGAAAACAATGTTTGAAATCTGACATTTGGGCATAAAGGCGCAATGTTGTGAGAAAGAAAATCATGCTGCTATGAGAATGAAGTCTCCGTTTTGAATGAAGTGGCACTTTTTGGAGGAAAGTCATGAAATGATGTGATAATTTATAATATAAGAATCAACGGGAAATTTGAAGATTTATAATAGAAAGCAGCAATATGATGTGTAATCACTTTGAAACATTCAATTGCAAGAATTAAGTGGCAACTTTACAGGAAAAAATCACAACATCACTGGAACAAATGTGCAATTATACTATGTTATGCAACAATATTGATACATATTACAAGAATATAGACACAACTTTATGTAAGTTAATGCTCTTCTAGTCTGTGTCAGCAGAAAAATGTAATATTAGTTGTACATGTATCTTCCGTAATTATACTCATTGTGGCCAGATGTCATAGACAAATAAGTCATTTCGAACTACATGAATCCAAACAGTTGCACAAATAAAAAAATCCCTTCAATGGCAAACAGAATGAGATGGGGGCATCACAGCAGGAAATGGCTGAATCGCACAAAGCTTTTAATTAAACGCTGACTCAAAGCAGGCCTCTCCATGACTCATGAGGAATGTATCACAGCGGTGCTTAAAGCATTCAAATCATTCGCAGTACACTCTGAGGTACAACTCAAGCAGTAGTGAAAGTAATACACACAGACAGTGTATAACAAAAATAAGTGTATTCATCCGTTAAGCTTACATTCACGTAGCAGATGACGCTGACCGTACCTGCAAGTACACAACCTGCTGCACTGAGAAAACTGAAAGGTTGACTTTATTTAAATGTATTCTGTCAAAAGGATAGGTTAGTTGAAATCAATAATATTAAGTAGAACCTAATATGTTTTAATTCAACTTGATTTTATTGCTTTCAACTAACCTAATACAGTTATGTGTAATCTGTTGATTTTATAGATATAATTAAAGTCAAAGTTTCAGTTTTTAAGCGTGTGTTTCAACATAACTAATAAAGTCAACATGTGTGAAGGCTCGGCTTCAGCGTGTGAAGCCTCAGGATGTCAAGTTACTTTAAGACTTTCTCAGCTTAGGTCAGTAACAATCAGAGAAAAGACAAAGGAGGATGAAGGACTGGCCCTTGAAATGCTGTGGTCACCTATTCGGAAGCTATTACCACCTGCAGAACCCCCCCGCTGTACATACTGTACGTCCACTTTTAGTCCACACTGTTATTGACAGTCTGGACTCAGGCTGAACTTCTGATGTGGTTAGAAATGTGTGACGTGCGCTGACATGCAGGTCTGTCTTCACAGGTTAAATGCTTGTTTTAGTCTAATGTACAGTATCTACAAGGAAGGTGGAACAATAATACTTTAAGACTGTTGTTGAGGAGTTTGATAATAGAGCTGGCCTTATTACTTGTTACTGACCACAGATTATTACTGGTGAAGTACAATGTAGAGGTAAAGCTGGTGTGTGTGTGTGTTCTGTCGGATCCACTAACCAGACATTTGTATCCAAAAAGGTGCTATGTGTAGCATTTAACCACCGAAACAGCATCAACAAGCTGTTAGAATGATACACAAACATATTCCTGTTGCACACATTGTTCTAATTTTCCTATCGTTGCCTTTTTAAATTGAAGTAGTGATAACTTTCACCACTTCCATACTTTGATGTTTGCCTTGTTAACAGAAGTGGATCATTAAATAAATCGGGTTGCACCAAACAAAGCAGTTACTACGTAACTGAAAATACATCAAATTATATTTTACAAAAACACAATATATCCCAATAATCTCACAAAAAATATGGTGAAAGGTTGGCCTACTGTAAAACACGATAATACGACTAACTAATAACTTCTTGTAGACTTTATCTGACGGGACAGATGTTCTTATCAATAGATTTACACATGACTTTATTTAACTTAGACATTTCTTTAGTTTGATTGGCATTGGTAAATGACTAGTTGTAAGCTAGCTAGCCGTCACAGAGCGTGACACAGACTAGGTTTTAGGCCAGCTGGTGCAACCTGAGTGAAATACTCTGGAAAGAATCAATGTGATAAGCTGGGAACCATAATGATCTACATTATTCTCTACACTGGCTGTCTTCAAACTTTACAACACAGAAACAGATTATAGCATGCTAACATGCTAATGTTTATCATTAACCTTCTTAGAATGCAGATGTTAGCAGGTTAGCAGGTGAGCATGCTACGCTATCATTAGTGTACAGCTTGAGAGCTATCATATTTCACTCTGGGTGTGTTTGACATACATTAGGATTCCTGGAGCCAATGATTGAAATGCTACACACAGCACATTTGAGGGTAAAGGAAGAAATGCTATCCGTTACCTGTTGTTTTCCGATTGTCTGTTGGCCAAATATTTTACTCTTTATCCCTCACACACTCAGCCCTTCTGCATGCTATTCCAACAGTCTTTCAGATGTTCTTTCTTCTTCCCCCCACAGTCCAGCCATCCTCTCTTCCTCCCATCACTCCCAGAAGATGTTGGTGATGTCAGAGTCCAGGCTGAAGATCCAGATCAGTAGCGGAGCTGAGATCAGGACAAACGACCAGGACACGCCGTTCAGTGACTGCCGCATCCTCGCCATCAAGCCCGGGCTCACCCCCGTCCTCCGCTGCTCCTCTTCCTCTTCCACGGTCTGTTTGAGAGAAGGATTGCAACAAAGGGTAAAAACAGACCTTATAGAGTGGTGCAGGGATGATGTATTTTTGTAGGCCAACACAGAAGTTAGCATCACAGGTTCTTGATAAGGATTTTTCAATTGGATAATGAAGCTAACACATTTTGTTCAGCAGGAAAATCTCCGCATGTTATGAATTTTGAAGTGTATATGCAATAGGGCTGTGCATCTTCACTGGCCTCACGATTCGATTCGATTACGATTATCCTGTTACCGATTCGATTCAATATCCCGATGCATCACGATTCATACCAATGCGTTGCATCCTCAATATTCTATATTACTGCACATGGCTTCTTTTTCATCAATGAATACATGCAGTAAATACATATGAACTCTCTTTTTATTATTTAGAAAGTGCTTCAGAAATCAATAACATAAATGTCTTGACATTAATTTATAAACCAAAATAAATCAATTGTATAGCTCTAGCATCCCTATACAGTGTCTGTGTGTGAAGTTGTTCCATCCTCAAAAACAAAAAACTAATGCTTCTGCAGTCTAGCTGCAGCTTCTAGCAACGGTCTTCTGTTAAAGAGAGGACACTGAAGGTCCTGGATGTGGCATCACACACAGGACTTGAGTCTGAACACAGCAGACAACAGGAGTATTTACAATAGCAGAAAACAAAAATACTGCACGTGGGTGCACTTACATTCTCTGTCTTACTGTTACATAAATCCCATGATTGTAGGAGATTAAGTTAGCTTCATTATATCTCAATCAGTGATTAAGTCAGTGGTTCTCAAACTTTTTCTGTCAGGCCCCCCCTTTGGAGAAAAAAAAAAGTCGGTCCCCCCCAACACAAATAGTCACGTAATGGGCCAAGTTAACATTTATTAAAATACATCAATATGAACGTGAGCATTCCTTTGCTAGAACAGTGATAATAAAACAATGCTCCATAAGTCTGTGTGCTCAAAAAAATAAATACATAATACAATTGTCCTTTGCTAGAACAATAAGTTATAATACTTTGCCACTTTGCAATCTGTGCAAAAAAATGAAAAGAAATAAAATGCTGATATTTGGCAAAAAAGTGTGTCTTATCACAGGTGGCTGCAATGAGCCTGTGTTGCACTGCACATTTCTTCAAAACGGGGTTGCAGGCTCAGTGGCGGCGCCAGAGATTTCTCTTGGGGGTGCTGTGGGGTAGCTTGACGTTTCATAGAGGGTGCTCAAACATGTAGGGTTTCCCATTAATGTACCGGGCACTACAGTGGAATGTTCTACTGCAACAATCCCCACGCACATACACAGTGTACCTGCGACTGTTACAATGAAGGCTCGATAATCAGCTCACGGCATATAGGTGTAAGCAGGGGTAAAGTGCTATTTTTACAAGTGGGGGGTGGACCGAACATAGGAGGGTCCAGATTTATTTTTAAATGTTGAAGTTAAAAGCATCAATCTGGTGCACTTTGAGAGCAAAATGAAGAGATCTATGGATACATCTCTTAACACCCATATGAAACAGAACTGTAAACAGATTTACTTTTTCTTTATGGATATTTTACAAATCACTCCCCTTTCAAACTGTATTCTTGTTTTACTGTCATATAGTATTTCATACCTGTTTTTCATTTATTCTCTTGTTTTTTTATAACTATAATGATCATATAAACGCGTGCCTCGGAAATAATTGTTTACATTAATCGTGACCAAAACGTTTGAGACCCGGCCACTAGCTCGCTAGCACCAGAAGCTAACAACAACGATCTCCGGTACCGGTGCGCGCTCTCTCTCTCTCTCTCGCTCGCGCACGCACACAAAATGGTTCCACACACACACAGAGCCGAGCTTGAATGAAACACAGAGACCCAGACGTAAAGTAGTAAATTAATAAAAAACTGGATTTTTGGGTTTAGGACTCATTCCTGCACCACTCTATAGCATTAACAGAAGCTCTCATGATCTTCTCACCTGCATCTGGCTTCCTGGCTCAATGTAGTTGCGGGCCAGGAGCTTTAGAGCTTCATCCATCAAGATGACAGGAAGAGACATCTTCAACACCACCACCCACTGAGGCCAGGACAGAGGGCGTATCTGGAAGATCATCTGAAGCCACAGACAGAGGGGTGGGAGGAAGTTTAAGTCAAGGATGGATATTAAGTGTAGGCCAAAATATATTGATGAGTGCATGCTCACCGGCAGTGGGTCTACATATAGAATGAGGAAGTGTAGAGCCATGGACAGACAGATGGCTCCCACCAGCCAGGGGTTTGACCAGGGAGGCATTTTCAGCAGGGACTGGTTCTCTGAAAGACTGGACAGCACCATACAGTTTAGAACATCTCTTTCCTGGATCTACAGCCTTAAGAAACCATTACATTCACATGGAATTTATCACAGTGACACAAACTGAAAAAACTGAAACATTGGCTTAATTTATTATGTCAACAAATGTCACATAACTGTATTAGGTTAGTTAAAGGCAATAATATTAAAGCTCACCTATTATGCTATATTTGAACAATATTTCATAGGGCCATATCTATACAAAACATGTCTCTGAAGTGTTTTGCTCAAAATACCAAACAGATCACCCACTCTAGCATGCCTCATACCCCTCTATTTCAGCCCTGTTATTAAAGTGCTGATTCTCAGTCTGGCCCTTTAAATGTAACTGAGCTGCTGCTGGCCACGCCCCTTTGGAGCTGCTGCTGGCAACGCCCCGTTGGAGCTGCTGCTGGCCACGCCCCTTTGGAGCGTCCGCATGCAAGCAGTGAGCTCTGTGGAGAGAAGGCTGTCTACCAGCAGAAACTCAGCTAAACGCTGCCGTGATTAAACGCCATATTATGTTCCAAACCACATCAAGGATTATTTCTGAAACAGTGTGGAGCTCAAACGCTTTCTCTCTCGCGGGTTTACCACAAGGACAGTACCTTTTATATCCTGCTTCTTTAAACATACTCTCTCCAGTACAGCGTTAGCTCTGAGTGTTAGCGATGCTTGCTAATGTAAACACAGACAATAATACTTCCAAAACACGTCGTGCATTGTTTCTGATACAGCACATAGCTTGACATGTTCTTTATTCAGTGTTTACCGCTAGAACAGTGCCATTATATGTATTATATATATAACAACTTTACTCTAAGTCCCTCTCGTAGACATCCTGCTGAATACACAGACACACAGCTGAGGGGGGGGATTGAGCGACTGTATATGGGGACGATAGGTTGAGGCGGGACATTGCCAGGAGTTCAATGTAAAGCCAGCCCACAGTTACTGTAAGTAATGTCTTCATGACCGCAGCAAATCTGGATCAGCTCCGTTGTACCCCAGTTTTTAGAGATGTGGGTAAGGAGGACAAGAGAGAGGGTTGTATTTTCTGACACTTTGTGAGTGTCCTTACACACCGGGGACACATATTTATGTATCAAAAAAAGTGCATTTTGCATAATTAAGTTGAACCTAATATTTAAACAGAACAACACTGTAGGAAATGTGCTTGTGTGTGCAGATGTATTTGTTTTCTTTTACCTGTTCAAGGCGTTGCACATCTCTATGGTAACCAGGACAGACAGAGCCATCGTCATGGGATAAGGAGACTCAAAGACTGAACACTGCACACCAGCAAACTCAGCGTGGCCTTCACTGCACTGCAGGTAGTGGGACTGATGAGGAAACAGTTATTGTTTATGACATACCATACTATGCCTTTTTTAAATTATTATTATTTGCAACACATTTGACCATGTACCAATATTTTTCAATTGTTTATATCTATTGCATTATATATCTTACAGTTTATCAATAAGTTGCCCTAAAGTTTTTAAGGTCACATATAATCATTTTGTCTGTCTCATGTGATGCAGTGATTTTCTAACTACTATTTTAGGCAACATGTTAACATTTTAATAACATGTAATACCATGTTAATGATCACACTTTAAGATTTCAATTGCTCACCCTTTTGTGTTAGCTCTACAGGAAATACATTCAACTACAGAAGCATGACAGAAAATGAGTGATGGGGATATAGTGACGTGTTTACCAGTTGATAGAAGGACACTTTTGGTCCGTCGTGGGCTGCCATGAACCACCAGGCAGCAGCCCCCACAGTAGCAGCTCCCACATAACCTGCACGGAGAGGGGGTGGGTAACAGGACATTTATTTTGTATGTAGTAGAAACTGAGGATCTTATTTTCTGTCCTCGGCTCATGACTCACATCCGATGATGAGGTAGCGACAGAACAACCAGCTGGAGATCAGAGGCTCTTTGGAGGTTCTGGGGGGACGGGACATGATGTCCAGGTCTGGAGGGTTGAAGCCCAGAGCCGTTGCTGGGAAACCGTCAGTGACAAGGTTGACCCATAGCAGCTGGACTGGGATCAGCGCTTCAGGCATGCCCAGTGCTGCTGTCAGGAAAATACTGAGGAGAGAGGAAAGACAGATAAGAAGAAGTTACAATGACAAAACTCTCTGTTATTTCCAAAGTTAGTACACCTTCCTCTTCCATCAGCTCTGTTACTCACCAAACCACCTCTCCTATGTTGGATGATATCAGGTATCTGATGAACTGCTTCATGTTATTGTAAATGGCTCTGCCCTCCTCCACTGCAGCCACGATGGTGGAGAAGTTGTCATCAGCCAGAATCATCTCAGAGGCGGATTTAGCCACCGCTGTGCCGCTGCCCATAGCGATGCCGATCTCCGCCTTCTTCAGAGCAGGGGCGTCGTTCACACCGTCACCTGTCTGAATATTGCAGCAAATAAGATCTTTGGCAAACACACATTTATGGTACTTACACGTTTTGTTCAGCAGGATAACCGACATATATTAACACAAATGTTGTGATATTTGAAGTGAAAATGCAATCCAGAAGTCAAATGCTGTTAGGCTATTAACGAACTACGTCATGGTCACATGTCTTCACTTCACCAAAGAAAAGCTAAAGGCAGCTTATGTTTGTGTGATGACGTTTTGTTACAATCATTCAGTCACTTGTTAGCAACTGCTGTTTTTATGACACATAGAAGCTTCAGACCAGGGTGGAATTGAGTGCTAGCTTTTGGTGGGACTTCTGAAAGACCACTCAAATGTCCCTGATTAAAGTATCAAGTGTGCCAGTTTGTTTGATTTCTGGCCCTTAACAGCAGTGTCAGTGCTCACGGATTAGAAGGGTGTGGCCCCACAGCTGTAGCCAACTGAGTAATCAAGTCGTCTTTATAAACCAGCATTTACTTCAAGCCTCAGCTTCAGCATCAAGCGGAGACGGACAAGATATAAAAGTCAAGTGGAAGGCGAAATGGAAGTGAATTAAACATTGTCTTGGCTTTGGATAACAGCGTCAGCTATATGAACATGATGCAGTGTCAATCAAATTCACAAATTGTAATAATAAAGAATAAAGAATACTAGATCTAATCTAATCCAATTAAATGTAGGCAATACAAATGCAATGTATTTACTGACGTATTTTATGTTAAGAAACATGAAAATCTCTAAAGCCGATAATCACAGACCTTATTTTAGGCATCTAACCAAACACATGTTACACGACTCATTCCTGCACCACTCTATAACACCAGCTCAAGTATGAGGCTGTGCTCTTACCATGGCAGTGATTTCATTGAGGCTCTGGAGGTACTCCACTATCCGGCTCTTGTGTGCCGGCTCCACCCGGGCGAAGCAGCGCACCGTCCTGCAGGCCTGGCGCTGCAGGTGGGGGGGCAGCTCGTCAAACTCCCTCCCTGTGAGGCCCCCATTGATCCCCAAGCCCTCCTGCTCCTCCTCCTGTTCTGTGATGATGCCCACCCTCCGACAGATAGACAGGGCTGTGCCTTTGTTGTCGCCTGGAAAGAAATGAATCATCAGCTAATCGTGTTAACACTTCATCCGTTTGATGCAAGAAGCCTTCTACCTAAACTAAAGGAAGTGAAACCCCAAGCTGACAAAGACTAAGCAGCAGTGTACTCTGCAATTGTATTATATACATTATGTATTCATTGTTTTCTGCCAATTACTAAATACTCATTGCTTTCCAGTGCTCATATTCACCATACAGTGCCAAACTGCACATCTCAGCAAGTTCATTGTCTATCTTTTTTAAGATTCAAAATACAGATGTTTTAGTTTTCTATAAACAGATTATCTGGTGCTTTCTAACAAGATGCTAGTTAAGCAACTTCACCTTTGTTTGGGTTCATTTTGAATGAAGTACAAGGAACAATGTCATCATTCTGTCAAAGCGCTTTCATATCTTCTCATTTGGGTTATACTCTCATATTCATTACCATTGATACATATTCTGTCAATTGCACATACTTATTGTATTCTCATAAGTTACATCATAATCACAGCATATGGAGTCATGTCAGATCCCTTTTGTTTAAGTTCTAAGGTCACTGCTTACATGTTTGGCTTTTCTGTTAGCTCTTCAGGTCCCTGCTGTCAATTCGCCATAGCTGGCTAGAGCCTATACATTTTCATTATTGTAAATATGAAGCTTAATCCTAGTGAAATGGTATATTGTCCAATGTTCAAATACCAAGTGAAAATGTACATTGTAGAGTATTCAAATGTATTCAGTATTCTCTTAATATTGTGTATTATATGGATACTCTAGTGATATATGTATTTTCTATTGCAATTGTATTATATATTTGTATCTTATTCTATCTTTTAAATGTTTTTAACTCACGTGTAATGCTTGACACTGCTGCTGTGACTAAATCATTTCCCAATTTGGGATGAATAAAGTATCTGTCTATCTGTTTATAAAATGTTACGTTTACTAGTTGTTGTGCACATATAGAGTACATTTAGATGTGTGTGTGGGTGTGTGTGTTACCTGTGATCATGATGACCCTGATGCCAGCCTGCCGACACATTCGGACCGCAGAGAGCACCTCTTTCCTGGGGGGGTCCAACATGCCCACACAGCCCACAAAGGTCAGGTCCGACTGGGAGAGAGAAGAGAGGGGGGGCTAGTTTAGATAGAGTAACTTGAAAATACTATCCAGTTTACAATTCCCATTCGGCACATACATGTCAGTACATTAAGTGTTTGATATATTTATACAAAAATGACCAACATCACCTCGTAGTCAGCAAAGGTAGCGGAGTTCTCCACGTTGAGGCCTTTGATGTCAGGGGGTGTGTCCCTGGTTGCCATGGCGAGGCAACGCAGCGTGTCTCTGCCTGCTCCCCACTCCCGCACAGTGGACAGGATCTGCTCTCGGACCGCGGCGCTCAAAGGCACACGACAGGAAGCGCCGACCCGGATAAAGTTACAGCGCTCCAGAACGCTCTCTGGAGCTCCCTGCAGACAGGGGGGGGGGGGGGGGGGGGGGGGGGGGGGGCGATTAGACACTGCAGGGAATATGACGTGAGAGACGTTTTATAGGAGTTCTTGAAACACACCTTGACGAACATCTTGGCTCCAGAGGCGGACCTGATGTGTTTATTGGATGAACAGAAGACAGACATGGACTTCCTGTCTCTGGAGAACTCCAGCGTCAGCTCCTTCTTCATCAGCTGCTTTATGACCTGAAAACAACAACAACACAACTTTAACATGTACACTTGGTACAGTACAGTGAGCTTTCCTGGAAGAACATACACATATCAGCTAATCTTTCCCGTGAGAAAGGTGTATAAATATTGTAATTATTAATGTGTAGACTTCTAAAGTTATTAACCCTTCTATTGTCTTCGTTCCCCCCCCCTTACTTTGGTGTTCGTGGTCAAATTTGACCGGTCCTGTTTTAACTGCTATTACATTAACACAAAAACCATTAATCATCACCACATTTCATTTAACACCCTTTCAAACTGTACATATTGTATCAGACTACTGGTATACATGAAAAACTGCAGTACATATACAAAGAATAGACATTGAACATGTATTGCGTGTGCCAGGTGTGATCCATGTGGGGGGAGGGGCACATAAGAGCGGGAAATGTGTCAAATTGTTCTGTGTGTGTGTGTGTGTGTGTGTTTGTGTGCCAGGTGTGATTCACATGGGGGGGATGGGCACATAACGGGGGGGGGGGACACATCTAAAGTATGTGTGTGTGTGTGTATTTGTGTGTGCAAGGTGTGATTCACATGGGGGGATGGGCACATAAGGGGGGGGACACATCTAAGGCCCCGGCTCCACGGGAACGCATACGGCAAAACGCATAGGAGTAACGCAAACGCAAACGCCAAAAAGCTTCCGTCCCCACGCAATATACACCGAATTGTGTCAAGCTACACGAGACAGCTCCATTTACATCCAACCGCTGGAAAAGCTGCAGTACATATGCCGAGCCTGTACGTGGCGCTGTAACTTCCTCCACAAAAGCAGCGAAGAAGAATGGTTGTCATGGCTGCACTTCTGTTTATTCTCCACGGTGGGGGCCGAGGGATCCGGGCAGAGTTTTTTGCCGGTCAGCGTGTGTTAAAGTTTAAATCTTCCGGACAAAATTATAAAAGTGCCGGTCAAAGGTCTTCTTTGTTATTTATTGAGCTTTAAAACAAATGAATAACGACTCTATATAATGATATATAATAATAAAATATACGGAGCCTCTCTTTTTCCTCTCTTCTGACAGCGTCAGTGTCTGTCTCATGCAGCAGCTGATCCAGTAATGAGTGACCCGACAGTAAAAATAAACATATTTATAACTAGTTTAGTTTGAGAGGTAATTAAAATAGCTAAGGGTGATGATCTGACTTGAAGTGTGTGTTTTGCTCCCGCTGCATCACAGCGGGAGGAGCTGCGTGTCTCCGTCCTGTCAGATTAGACTTCACTCGCGTTTATGTCCATATCGAGATAAAGATAAATAATCTGAATTCAGTGTGCAGTGTACTTTTGCGGGGGTGAGCAACAGAGGTGGGGAGAGGCGGGGCTATTGCGTCGTCATTATCAGAAACGGATGACCGTATAGAGGCTACCACACGGCCCCGTTGGACCCCCCAGAGCGCTCCGTTCCCAGATCTATCCACCTTTGGACCCGTTGTCGTTTGCAGGGTCTGTTTCTACCGTTCCGTTACGGCGTGGTCGAGCTTAAAGGGCTATACGCATGAGAAATATGCGGATACAACCAGTTTTCGTTCCCGTGGAGCCTAGGCCTAAAGTATGTGTGTGTGTGTGTGTATTTGTGTGTGTGTGTGTGTGTGTGTGTATGTGTGTGTGTGTGTGTGTGTGTGTGTGTGTGTGTGTGTGTGTGTGTGTGTGTGTGTGTGTGTGTGTGTGTGTGTGTGTGTGTGTGTGTGTTCTTACCCTGCCGGGAACACCATGGGTGTTACAAAGTTGACTAAATCATCCAAAATTCAATGAAAGTGGTGATCAGCCATTGTATATGTTCAAATGTCTGCTGTGAAGGATATCATAAAGCCTTAATGCAATCGAATGTAAAACAAAAAAGTTATGATTGATGAAAGTAGTAAATCGGTCAGATTTGACCCGAAGACAACAGGAGGGTTAATGGGGTGTACTTTTTCTATTTGTTTTGTTTATCCAAAGCTCAAATCTGCTATATATGAACATTTTATGACTGCTATTGCTTCTTGGCACCTTTAAGATGAGATCAAATAAGATAAATAATCTTTATTAGTCCAACAACAGGGAAAGTTGATGTGTTACACCAGCGAAGGGTTAGGATGTGCAACAACAACACAAAGTAATAAAAAGCAAGATATAATAAATGTGTAAATAATACTGAAATATATGAAACAAGTTAGCAGTTCAGAATATATCACACAGACTAAAGTATGCATTTAAAGGATCCTACCTAACTAATAAAGTAATGATAAGATAGAGGTTAGAATATTTCTGTTACTAACCATATGTGACCTGCTCTATCGAAATCAGTGGCATTGACCCGAAGACACATTTTGAGTTGTATACACTGTTGGAAAGAGGAGATTCCTAGCTTTCTAATGATATCAGGATTGTTGTTGTACTCCAAATATTAAGCAAAATATGTCACATTATATAATGACTGTCACCGAGTCATGATTTTGAGAAAAAGGCCCTCAAAGTTTCCTCTTCTCTGGAATCCATCGATCTGATTGATTATTAGCGGAGCAAATGATCAAAATAGTCCGGAGGGAAAATATTTCCGTTTGGATTACTGGTCTGGGGGAAGCTCGCGAGTGTGTGTGTGTGCATGTGTGTGTGTGTTTGTGTATTTTTGCGTTTGTGTGTATTGTGTTTGTTTCCCGGGGAAAACACTCACGAGAAACACCGGCTGTTGTTATGCCTGCTGTGACGTTAAATGACTCCGTTCTCCGCTTGTAATTATGCCGTTACAAGCTTCAAAGTTGTATTTATCATCTAAATTTGCCGAAACAAGTTTAATATTCTGAAAGCCAAGACTTTGTTTAATTGAAATCAGATGAAAACAAACTGTAACGGACCCTGCCGTGTTATCTATGATTACTATATGCCTTACATTCATAATTTCAGCCGGAGGGAGGGGAAGCAGCGCTGAGGAAGTGAGAGCTGTCATCTTCCCTTCACAAGCTTCACAAATGTATTTATCGTGTGATTTTGGAAATAAAAGTTTCATATTCTGAAAGCCAAGACTTTGTTTATTTAAAATCAAACAAAACACCTGAACCCCGAAAAAATAGTTTTTTACGCAAATCCACGTTTATTTTGAAATGAGCCGTTGCGACTTCCGACTGATTTCGATAGAGCGGGTCACATATGTATACATTTATAAAGTGTTCTTTTAAGCAATTTTGCAGACTATTTAGGATGGCTTATGTAACAAACCATTTTCCGGAAGAAGTTACCAAAGACAATGTGCTGGAGATTATTTGCAACTTTGGAAAATCTAGAAATGAAAACACTGAATGTTTGCTGCAGGTCTGTGTGTGGCCTACAGAATGTGAAACTAGAGTTCACGGGTCAACACGCAGAACATTCGCTTCATGTCTCTGAGGAAACAAGGAATATGTGAGAGGAGATGCATTGATATTTCTGAGGTCAGAAGGAAGGATCAATATGTCATTTTCACCAGCATCACTTGAAATGTACAGACACACTTACTGAGCAGCAGGCTGTAGCTCTCTCTGTAGGGCAGAGTCCTCTCAGCTCAGTGTCGAACACGTTCATCTTCTCCACCAGACAGATGAGCGCCGTCTCTGTGGCCTCCCCAACCTTCTCAAACACACCCTTAGACTGACACACACACACACAGTGGTTTTAGTATGCCGTTTTTACTTTGTAAGTGGTAACACATAACCAGTTTAAGGTAAATCTCTGCAGTCATGTCTTACCTCGTTGAAGTCCAGTGACGAGTCATTGCACAGAGCACAGATGGAGGCTAGCTCCACCAGGCCTTCATACTGACTGCACTTCACAACTGAGCCATCCTTATACCTGCAGAGACAGCAGAAAGAGGGAGGGGATGAACACAAATGGTAAGGATAAGGAAGGGGAGATAAATTGAAGGCTCTTTTAATCCATATGAATAATTCACAGACTGCCAGGGGTTAATGGCTAAGTATTAAAGGTTAAAGACACTCACACTTCCCCTTCAGGGGCGTAAGTAGATCCAGTCACTGTGAACTCGTTCAGGCTGCAGCGCTCCCCTGACACACTGTCTACTACAAACATCTAAACACACACATTTGCAAACACATGCAGAAAAACAATGCAGTAGTTGATTAGTTCCATAGTATTAGAAGACAAATGAAGGTTAGGTCCACATTCCAACAGGACATTTTACACTCGGGCAACTTCTGAAATATATATTATATAGCGATACTTATTTTCATCTCTTTTCTAATAGCAGAAATTCTCAGATAAAAGATAAAAGCTTTCAAATATCTGTGGCCACCAAATACAGAGAGGGTGGGAAACATTGAAGGGGATTGGGGATTTAGGATAAAGTCAATGTTAACAGGCCCGATTCCATCAGTTCAACAATCATTCATTATTTCCAATTGCTTTTACTTTGCTGATTTTCCATTTGGTTTTAAGATACTGTTGATGCAACTGTTTCACAAAATGTTCTGTTGTAGTGGGCTTTAATGTAAAATATCTGTCAAATGTAGTGTTGCAGTAGGCTTTTGCCTCCTTTTAGTGCCCCCCCCCAGCTTATTAGCAACCAGCCTTTATTTGACTGCTTCTGTAACTTAAATATTGGCTTTTACAAGATCATTTAGGGTATATGCTTTACTTATGTAAGATTAAAAATGTGTTAACCTAAATGTAGTATTATAGTCATTAGTTTTATATAGTACACTACTTTTTGTATATAAAATCATTAAAACTCTGTGGCCTTCTTTGGATACTCCTTCATGTTTAACTGATCAATGCCACCATGCCATGATGTGATGATGTGTGTGTGTGTGTGTGTGTGTGTGTGTGTGTGTGTGTGTGTGTGTGTGTGTGTGTGTGTCTGTGTGTGTGTGTGTGTGTGTGTGTGTGTGTGTGTGTGTGTGTGTGTGTGTGTGTGTGTGTGTGTGTGTGTGTCTGTGTGTGTGTGTGTGTGTGTGTGTGTGTGTTCTTACCCTGCACACGGACATCTGGTTGGTGGTCAGTGTTCCTGTCTTGTCAGAGCAGATGACAGAGGTGCAGCCCAGCGTCTCCACTGACGGCAGGCTGCGCACAATGGCGTTCTTCCTGGCCATCCTCCTGGTGCCCAGAGCCAGGCAGGTAGTGATGACGGCTGGGAGGCCTGATGGAGAGAACGAGAAGCAGACCATGGCCATGAGAAGGCTTTCTTTAAGAGAGGAAAAGAGTCTAAACAGCTTCATTGTCTTTTTTCTAGTGTTGTCGTTTGGTTAAAAAACGTAATTTTGTGAATTGTAATAATAATCTAGTACAATACTAGTATTAACATTTATTTTCTGTTTTGCGGTAAGATAAATCATTTTTTGTTGACTGAAAAATGTGCATGAATTTCACCTAATTAGCAGACAACAGCTGCAAAGCTACACACTGAAAGCTTTCCTGTAAAGTAACATCTCACCCAGATTAGTTTGACAGGGAGTAAGCGTATTTAAGAAAGCGAACGGTCCTTTTTCCAGCTTGTTACCAATTTTCCGACACTTAACTAAAGCATGGACAAAGCCGCTGCCACACAGGGCCTGTTCTCTCTGCTGCTATCATAATGCCAGTCCATATCTTTTCATACAGTGAGGACCCTGTCCTCTATCTCCCACTCCTCAACTAAAGCGAACCATCTCATTTGCAATTTAAAAGTGAATTTTCTGTTCGGAACAGATAGGGATATCACCTCACTCATCCTGTTATCTGGTTGCCATGTATCACAGGAGTGAAAATCAGTGCTGGAATGAAGGGAGGAAGTTGGGGTCAAACTTGGTAATGTGACTGATTCAGACACTTTGATTTAACACGTTTCCTTTTTCAGATAAACAGTGAGCGTTAATGCATTATCGTTGACAGCCCTTCTTTTTCGTGTCAGGCATTGCCAGGCTTCATTGTTGGGTTGTAGGTGACTTACTCAATGGCACATGTAAGGTTATTTAGAGTGAGAGGAGAAAGATGCACCATGCCTATTTGTCCTTGCACTGACAGTGTAAAAACATGAGTAAGAAGTGATGTTTCTGCATTGATAGATATTAATGTTTGACCTTCTGGTATGGCAGCCACAGCCAGAGCCACAGCGATCTTGAAATAGTACACAGCTCCTCTCAGCCAGCTGCCTCCATGGACCGGGTCGTTGAAGTGTCCCACATTGATGGCCCACACCGCCACACAGATCACACTGATGACCTGCAGGGGAACAGAGAAAGATATATCATTTTCTCTAGTTGACAATGTATCACAATAAATGATAACGTTTGCCTTGGGTCCTTGCCTTAGACAGCTGTTCTCCAAACTGGTCTAGTTTCTGTTGCAGGGGGGTCCTCTCAGGCTCAGTGGCAGCCATCTCATCTCGGATTTTCCCAATCTCTGTCTGCACCCCTGTTGCCACGGCAACCCCAATGGCACGGCCCGCTGCAATGTTGGTTCCCTGGGCAAAGATCATGATCTTTACTGTGAAACTTGTTCTCAAAAGAGTTTTCAGCATTGAGCAGTTTCATAGATTTTATTCATTCTCATGTAGCTACATTTAAAAATGACTGCATATCTACATTATTACAGAATACACTGATTTCTGTGATATCAGAGGAACGGAATTAAGAACAAGTTCATTTTAGCTTAATAATGTAATGATAAGAAGCTTAATGACATTACTAATTAGTTATTCAACTGGCATTGTTTTGCTTTCAAACTAAACTAAGATTTACCCCAATTTACAATAAAAACATGGGTGGTGCCCCAAAGTATTTCATTCTGTTACCCAATATAAAACTGTAAAAGTGTTTCTGATAGTTGGCGTTAAGTGCCATCAAAACCTACACTCTACACCAAAGGTATGTATTTCTGATTCATTATTTGGAGCAATTGGTTATTCATTATTACAAATATGCTACAAGCTATTAAGATACTTATTCTAAATGCTGGTAACTAGGGTCAACAGTGACCTCTAAGCGGACAGTTATATATATAATAAGCAATGTTGAGTGCTCCAGCTGTAGCGGGCAGCATATACGATATGAAACTAGGAAACCTAGCACATCCTCTGGTACCTTAGTAGTAAGGCTCAAATTAGGAAAAGGAAAAACTAGCATGGCCTTATTCACAGGGCTCCGTGGACTTTTCAACTTAAGAGATCTGGCTGAATTGAGTTTTGACTGATCTCCCCTTTACTGTTATGTGTATGTATGTTGTTGTGGGGACTCACAGAGAAGAGCATGTTCTTCTTGTCCTGGTTGACGGCTCGGGGGTCTGGGACAGGGTCTGTGTGTTTGAGAACAGACACAGACTCCCCCGTCAGGATGGACTGGTCCACCCTCAGAGTCGTGGAGCAGATGGAGGTCAGCCGGATGTCAGCCGGGACCTTATCCCCAACTGCAAGGAAATAAACAGATAATCATTTCATTTTTTCATTACATTTAGATTAGGACTATTGTGGGTTTTAATTCAACACTGTATATTAACTTCGCTTCCTAAACGATGAGTGGTGAAGAAGGGTGCCTCTTAAAAATCCAAGCGGGAGAAACTGTACAGTTACTCTTTATATAATCATTTAAAAAAACTTGAAAGTGGAAAATATTGCAATACTGCTTGTCTTTCCTTCCCACTCTACTATCTCCACATAATAACATAATAAAAGAGCTCTACAGGCCAAGACACCAAGGTGACCTCAAATGTTTATATATCATATATTAATTGTACAAAACAAAATAGAAATAGCTAATTGTTTGTTTTTCTCACACTCACTGTCAGCAGTAATCTGACTGCTTCATGTGGGTAAGTACAGCATGTGCAACCCAGGATTCTTATTTGTTGCGCTTGTTTTACAGTGAAGGAGCAATCTCTGAGACATTCACATTTCAAGTGTCTTTCCTTCATCCTTCAGCTTAATGTTAGGGGTCACAAGGGTAACATGCTTGGGTGTACAAAGAGAACTGGATACAGCATTGAACATTCTTTTTGGGCCCATATTACATCACATGACTGACACAGAAGTTGTAGTTCAACTGTTTGGTCACTTCAAAAACGTGGCCAGCTCACTTCCTGTGGGCTTGGTAACACTTGACAAAGTTAAAATCAATTATTTAATGAGGTTAACACATCTTACAATGTATCCATAAGTCAAAGGACTTGTAGAAATGTTCTCATGAGTACATGTGAGCGTCTTGCATATAAACAGGGAAACGTAGATTGCTTGGTCTCCAGGTTTGCTCGATGCAGCTTTCCTGATACTGCTCATCCAAACTAATGAACTCGACACTGGGCTTCCTTATGTGTTTGGCAATACACACGTTAGGTGTGCAGTTCAATGAATGGTTGTGGAGAAATTGAACCGACTACCATTTTGGTAAGATGTCTGCTTTATGCAATAATGACAGATGGCTTCACATGGAAGTTTAGAATTCTTTGTCCTAAGAGCACAGCCTTTCATAAACTGTTTATAATAAGTGTTTATATGTGAGTCAGAGAAACTCAGAGAGAGAAAAGAAGAAGGAGAGGCTGCACTGACACGTTAGCCTTTGCTTCCTTTCCACTTTGACTAGTTTTCCTGAGACATAATCAAAGCACTACAAGGAAACATGTGCCAGGTTAGAGAGCACTGAAACATTTACTAGAGCAGAAATATTCGTACCTTCGTAAGTCAAATGTATTAATTTGTAATGCAGACAGATTGCTAAAAAAAGACACTCAGTTGTTATTTAATAATTGAAAAGCGCTTTCACTATTTTATCAATGCTTGAGTGAAAATCCTCTGACTATCTTTTTCATAATAATGATGAATACAGGTATTTAAGATAACCCTAATTAAATAATAAGTACTGGCAGCGTAGTCAAAAAGTCCTATTTAACCCTCTATATTATTGTGTTGGGCTAAAAACAGCAGTAAGAGAATAGAACCGTGAGTCACATTAAACACAGCCACAGCTCTGATTAATGTCACCGAGTTCCCATGCCCTTGAAGTCCAATACTTTCACTACACACACACACACACACACACACACACACACACACACACACACACACACACACACACACACACACACACACACACACACACACACACACACACACACACACACACACACACACACACACACACACACACACACACACACACACACACACACACACACACCACACACACACACACACAACCCCGTGTCCTCTCTCTGAGCAGCCTGAAATAGCAGTGAGTATCTGGAGGATTCTTTTCTTACTGGGTCAAGATAAAATGGTGTGTGTGATCATACAAATGTTCATACAACCCAGCTGAATTGATTTGTGGATCTGTGGATACAGCTGTGTTCCTCTACTGTAATATGGAATATCACATTCTTAACATCCAAAAAAGCCTGAGCACTTCCTATTTACCCTGGCAGTAACAAGGACCTTAAACGTCTACATGCACTCTAACACTCGAGGAAAACATTTCGGCACTCCAGAAGCACTCCGAGTGGATGAAACAGGTTTACACAGAATACCATTAAATTAGATGTCAACATATCATTAACATACTATTGAAATAAGGAAGAAATTATAATTTCTTGTCATTCATTTGAGCATTCGTGAATCCATATTACAAAGGCTTCTGAGATCAAATATTTTCCGTGAGGGCCTTGTGCACCTCTCACTGGGTTTCCATGACGATAACAGCCAGAGGAGAGGGCAGAGATGTGAGCCAGGAATGACTAAACAAAGACGCATTGTGTAAACAGCATGCAGTGCAAGCGCATTGGTAGTGTGTAAAAACATGAAGGGGCTTTTTTAAATATACTTGTTATTTTCCTCTTAACTGCAGGTTTCTGCAAGATTCAAGGTAATATTACAACTTTTTAATAATAGCACATGGGATCTAATTTAATACATTTCACAATCATACCATCCAAAGTATGAAAGAATGATGAAAATCGAAAGGGACGTGTCCTAGAATTTCACATCAATAAATAACAATTTATTTAGTACTTCACCGCAGTATGTAAAATAATTTGTAATAATATAATTAATTTAATTAAAGTAATGACCCAGAGGGGCAGCATACAATTAAAAGATGGATTAACCAATGAAAAGTTATTTATTTGCATTTCCTAGCTAATTTGGCACATTTTATTTGAGTTATGGCACATTTATTCTAATCAATTTCAGCCACAGCATGCGACTGTTTTCAATACAAAAAACATTGATAAACCCACTGGTCACTTCCTGTCTTGCAAGCTAAAGAGACAGATTTTCAATAGCTGATGTAGAACAAAATATTAAGACAGCTCCAAATGAGTGCTATTCAAGGTTGGAGTATTGGACGAATATATGGGCTTTGGCGATCGAGTACATCGCAAATGATTTACACCGGCACTTTTATATTTAACTCTGTAATGTAGGAGTTTATGTTGACCAAATTAGAGTAGATCAACCAAACTCCTAATATATAGTCTTTGACACATACAATCACACACACCTGCATGCATATATTGGGAATTGCCTGTTGGTTGGCAGACATTGGCTCATTGAAAAATATGCACTTAATATTTTTCACAAGCCTAGTACTAATGAAACCTCATTATTTACACCGCATGCAGTGTAAATAGGCTATTGTATGCTATAACAACTAAATAAGGCAAAAACATATTTGTATTGTGAGTCACCATGTTTAAGATTTCTTCTGCTCGTACTACTGACTAAGAAATACATAACTGAAGCTGAAATGTCTTCTAATATTCTGCACCTGTACGATGCCACTAATACAGTCCAACAATGACAGCCCTGCACTAACGTCTGTGTAGCTCATTATGTTGTGCAGGTGTGGTATTACCTTGCCTTATATTGAAAGGGGTTTCTAAAGTTTTGTTCACATGGACCTCATCTTAGAATAACATGCGTTCAGAATATGTGGTTACAGTAAGAACATGGACATTGTGGTCAATTTTGTATCAGCTGTATGCTTTACGAAAGGTGTCTTGGAATAGCACCTTCACTAGTCATGCTAATTGTGTGTCCCAATGTGAAGTATGGCAAAACTCAGTGCACTACGAGTACCCTGTTGCACTCCTAAAGGTCAAAATGTTTGATGTAAGACGCAGGACACTTCCTGCACTCGACAACCACCATCTTGGCTACATCATGAAAGTTACAAAACTGTTGAACACAGCACTATATATCAGTATTGTGTTTTTCTTTATTAAATAGTGAAATAGTTTTTCTTTATTAAATAGTGAAACATGTATATATTTTATTGATATAGTTGTTGAAAGAGGCCTGTGTCAATTCGATTTGGTTAATTGAGCAGTCTGTAATGATTTGATACAGAACAATAATGTTGCTATCTAGCTAGCTAACAGTCGCGATCAACACTTCCGGCCAGGGCACAGCAGCTGTGTGCGATTTGAGACACACTACACAGTGGACATTCACACAGTGAATGCCCAGTGATTGCACAGTATGCAGTGTATTGAGGGTGACATACTGTAATGTGTCCAAATTCAGACACAGCAACGGGTTCTGAGAGAAATGTTCCATGCAAACATTTTCACATTGACAATGAAAATCAATACAGCTAGAACAGAATATTACATTGCATTCAGCTGACGCTTTTATCCAAAGCGACTTACAATAAGTGCATTCGACCAAGAAGATACAAACTTGAAGAAAACAGAATCATATAAGTACATCAGGTTTCATAGAGCCAAAACATTTCAAGTGCTACTCAACTGGCTTTAGATAAGCCAGTCCTTTGTTAGTATATAAGTGCTTTGTTGAAAGATGTGTAGGCTTTCTCAGGGTTCCTGCAGGTTTCGCCAACTCAAATTTAAGACTTTTTAAGACCTTTTTAAGACCACTTTGAATAGAATTTAAGACCTATTTCACGGCAAGAAAGTATGAAGGAAAATTGCTATGAAAGAAGAAATACGTCCCATAATTACTTACAAAGTAAATGTATTGTTCAACATAAGAACACTGAACATAACAGCATAACAGTACAGAACTGTGTTAGCCAAAAAGTATGTTTTTAAGGCCTTAAATTCAGATGATCAAATTTAAGACTTTTTAAGACCCGCGGGAACCCTGCTTTCTGCTGTCCTGATGTCAATGGGGAGCTCATTCCACCATTTTGGAGCCGGGATAGCAAACCGACTTGTTGTTGCTGATGGGAACTTGGGTCCCCCTCAAAGTGCTGGTGCAGCGAGCCGTTTGGCTGATGCAGAGCGGAGTGCACGTGCTGGGTGTATGGTTTAACCATGTCCTGGATGTAGGAAGGGCCAGATCCATTCACAGCATGGTACGCAAGTACCAGTGTCTTGAAGTGGATTCTAGCAGTTACTGGAAGCCAGTGAAGGGAGCGGAGGAGCGGCGTGGTGTGAGAAAATGTTGGAAGGTTGAAGACCAGACGAGCCGCTGCATTCTGGATGAGCTGCAGAGGTGGGATGGCACATGCAGGTAGACCAGCCAGGAGGGAGTTGCAGTAGTCTAGGCGTGAGATGACGAGAGCCTGGACCAGAAGTTGCGTCGCTTTCTGGGTCAGGAGGGGACGTATCCTCCTGATGTTGTAAAGAGTGTATCTGCAGCAGCGGGTTGTAGCAGCGATGTTTGCAGTGAAGGACAGGTTGTTATCTAGGGTCACACCCAGATTCCTTGCAGTCTGAGTCGGGGAAACAACAGAATGTTGATTGTTAGGTCAAGAGTGGGACAATCTTTTCCAGGAAGGAAAAGCAGTTCAGTCTTGCCAAGGTTGAGCTTGAGGTGGTGAGCAGACATCCACTGAGAGATGTCTGCTTGACAAGCAGAGATGCGTGCGACGACCTGGGTCTCTGAGCGGGGAAAAGACAGAATTAATTGGGTGTCGTCAGCGTAGCAGTGGTATGAAAAACCATGCGGGCTAATGACCGATCCGAGCGAGTTTGTGTACAGAGAGAAGAGGAGGGGACCAAGGACAGAGCCCTGAGGGACCCCTGTAGTTAATTGACAAGGGTTGGACTCGGACCCTCTCCAAGTTACCCTGTAGGTGCGGTCTTTGAGGTATGAGGTGAGGAGGGAAAGAGCCTGAAACTCCAAGTTCTTGGAGAGTGCGAAGGAGGATCTGATGGTTCATGTTTATAACATCAGACGGGTTGAGAGTGGGTTTCTTTAGGAGAGGGTTTACTCTTGCCTCCTTGAGAGTGTTTGGAAAGTGACCAGAAGTTAGAGAAGTGTTGATGAAATGGGAGAGAAACTGTAGAATATCAGGAGCAATAGTCTGAAGGAGGTTTGAGGGGATAGGGTCCAGAGGACAAGTGGTAGGACGGGCAGAGGTAATGAGGGTAAGAACCTCACTTGGAGAGAGAGGGGAAAAGGAGGTTAGTGTGTGGGTGAAAGGAGGGTCAGGTGACCCAGCGGTGAGTAAAGGTGAGTCGGAAAAAGAAGAGCGAATATCATCAACCTTTTTTTCAAAGTAGTTAACAAAGTCGCTTGGCAGAAGGGAGGGGGAAGGGGCTTTGGGGGGTTCGAGGAGGGTGGAGAAGATAGAAAATAGTTTTTGGGGATTGGAATAGGAAGAATGGATCTTATCTTGAAAGAAAGTGCTTTTTGCCTGAGAGATCGAAGAAGAGAAAGAGGAGAGGAGAGCCTGATAGGTTAGGAGGTTGTCAGGGTGTTTGGATTTCCACCCTTTCCGCTCAGCTGCCCGAAGGATGGTTCTATTAGCACGCAGTGCGTCATTTAGCCAGGGAGCAGGAGGGGACTGACGAGCCTGCCGAGATGTGAGAGGACAGAGAGAGTCCAGAGAGGATGAAAGAGTGGAGAGGAGAGTTTCTGCAGCAGAGTTTGGAGGCAGGAGTTGGAACGAGTCAGAGGAAGGGAGGGCTGAGAGCACCAATGAGGTAAGAGTAGAGGGGGAGAGGGAACGAAGGTTACGGCGGACAGGTGCAGAATTAGAAGAGATTAGTTTGTTATGTTTGGAAAGGGGTAGAGAGAATGAAATGAAGAAGTGATCAGATGTGTGAAGCGGGTTTACAGAGAGGTTAGAAGTAGTGCAGTTCCTTGAGAATATGAGATCAAGGACATTGCCAGCTTTATGAGTTTGTGGGGATGGAGACAGTGAGAAAGCAAAGGCGGTTAAAAGAGATGTTAGTTCCGATATCTTCCCTGTCTGGAGGTTGAAGTCTCCGAGAAGTACAGTGGGAGGGCCAGTTTCAGGGATGTGTGAGAGGAGATTATCTAACTCCTCCAAGAAGTCTCCCAAGGCGCCTGGTGGACGGTATAGAACAACAATGGTTAATTGTATAGGATGGGTTACAGTAACGGCGTGGAATTCAAAGATGGAAGGAGTGAAGTTAGGTAGTTGGTAGAGGGAAAAGCTCCATTTGGGAGAGAGCAGGAGACCAGTGCCATCTCCTCTGCCTGTGGGTCTGGGTATATGGGTGAAGGAATATGCTGTGGAGAGAGCTGCTGGGGTGGATGTGTTGGATGGAGTAATCCAGGTCTCAGTGAGAGCAAGGAAATTCAGAGACTGCAGGGAAGCGTAGCCAGAGATGAAGTCAGCCTTAGGAACAGCTGACTGGCAATTCCACAAGCCACCTGTAACTAGATGTTGGATCTCAGTGGAGCATGTGGGATAGACGAGAGCAGGCCGGTTATAACAAGAAGCACGGGTCCAGTAATAATTGCAAGAGTACACATGAACAGGAATGGAGAATATACACATGTTTTAGCATGAGGGGCTAAAAAACACCAGCGATACTTAGCTCAATCAAAGTAGGATTTGCCTCCTCTTTGCCTCCTCTTTGCCTCCCTCGTGACTCCCGCAGGACTCTATTGTCTTTGTCAGTCTTCGTCTGTTTGACGCTGAAGCTGACGCGAATATAGCTGTTAGATTAGGCTACTATGGTTTGTTTTTCTACTGTAAAATGATGGAATATCCATATGGATATGGTTTATGGAATTACTATGAAACATTAATCGTTTTAATCATTGAAGGAGGAAATCAAATATTCTAAGTTAAATGAAAGCCTACAGAATCCTTCATAAAATACAAACTTAACTTAACCAAAGAGTATTTGACACTCAAAAGATGTTGAGAAGTGTCCCTTCCTGTAGTGATAGTCTACTTACCAGCGACTTCCACGATGTCTCCAGGAACGATGTCTCGGGCTCTGATTCTCTGGACGCTCTTCTTGTCCTGTCGGTACACCTTGCCCATCTCTGGCTCGTACTCCTTCAGAGCCTCAATGGCATTCTCTGCATTACGCTCCTGGCGGACACAGGAACATAGAAAGGTTCTTTCAATGGTTGAACCTAGGACCGTTAATGGACAAATTCCTTCCAGCAAGGTTGCCCTCATGTGAAGACGGAGACAGCAGGGAGGCTTTTAAAGTATATCAGGTCTTGCTGGGACAGGCATTTCTCAGTTTGAGATACACGTATTTTCAGTAGTGATTTAAAAGCAGGAAATGGTCAAGAATCCACAAGCAGTACAGAAAAATAATATACACCAACAAGTAACCTTTGTTTGATTTTCAGCATCTATGTGAACGATTAAATGTTAGAATCCAAACATGACACCACGAGCAGAGAAATTACACACGGAAGCTAAACCAAGCAACAGAAGCACATCCAACCAGTCTAAAAGAACTTGTGGTTGCCCTGGCTTGTTTTTGATAAAACCCAAACGAGGTCAACAGGAAACAACAGACCAAATATAAACAAAAAAAACATTGTGTTGTACCACATCTAGCCTGAGTCTCTGAAAAGAAACAGAATACTAAGCCCCTAAACGACTATCAGAGACGTGTTTCTATAATCTGCCTACTCCCATTGATATAAACATGTTGAAAAAATAAAAGGGGTAAGAAAAGTTTAAACCAACGCTGAACATTGAGAAACTTAATGAATAGAGTGGTGCAGTGATTATGTATTTTTAAAGGCAAACCTATAAATGAGATGTTTCCATTGGATTTCAGCTATTGTTAGGCTATAAACAAACTACAGCCTTTCACATGGCTGAGTATCACAACCACTAAGCTAAAGGCGGCTAATGTTTGGGGTGATTACGTTTAGTAGTCTTATTTAGTCACTTGTCACACAAATTGAAAATCTCATTAACTTGTGTTAACCTCAGACCTTAGTTTAGGCTTCCAATCAGTGAAACGTAAAAGGAAACATTGACATTGAGACGAGGGAACCGAAAGTGGTCAAATTGCTAACTAATTTCCAAGTTCAAAAGAGGATTCATTGCATGATTGTTGTATTTGTGTTAGGTTTGTGTATTTTATAAACTGTCATCTGAATAGTGCACCACAGATAAAGGAAATGAACTGCACTAATGTAGCGCTTTTTCAGTCTACTGCTGATAACATACCAGGAAATAGCTAAATGTGTCCCTCTGCAACAGTTACACTTTTCTGTCCCCTGGAGGGAAACAGAGATATGAAGGGAAGAATGTATATAGAACATAAGAATACATGTCTGAGGAGTTACAGGATTGGTTACTGATTGGCTTTGGGTATTATTTCGCCACTATTCCCCACAGAAAGTTAAACTAGCATTTAACTTAAGTCGCTGAGCTAAGAGAGGCTGCCACAGCTTTCCATAGACATTGAATGGCAACTCACTTTAATTTTGCTATTGCCAATAATTCTACAAGCCCCACTGATTCACTGACCTGAATCATACCTGACCTCAGCAACATGTGAAACAGGCTGGCATGAGTGTAGCACTCTGTTGACCTTGGAGTGGATCCTTGTGTTGATGACAGACTGCTACACTCTTCTCACTTATCATAGGACTTGTATTTACACCTAACGCACATACAGGGTTCATTCCAATTAAGAGTCTGTGGTATATATATTGTAAGCCATTGGGTGCACCAGTTGCTACTCTCTTGCTTTATTGTAGAGCCTTGATTCATGCAGCCATAGGCTATTTTGTATTAAATGAACGGTGTCAAACAGGAAACACATATTTAAGATATATATATATATATATATAATATCCATTCATAATGACATTTTGATGAGCCTTTAATATAATTAAATGGGCCAAATAGGGTGCCATGATTGACAATCCACTAAACCTGCACACTGTTTACCTGCCACACTCCCACAATAGCATTGGCGATGAGGATGAGGAGGATGACAAAGGGTTCAACAAAGGCTGTGATCGTCCCTTCCCCTTCTTCGAACCAAGCCAGGGTCTGCGGCACAGAAAACAAGACAGAGAAAAGGTTTGTGTTTGATGTGGCATTGTGTTATTAACACTCATACTATGTGTGTGTTATAGCAGGTTTTAAGTGCACAGTCCATTCAAAATCCATATATTTGTGAATAAGTGTGGTTTTGCACACAGTTCTTTTTCCTTACGAAGGAGATGAACGCAGCAAGCAGCAGGATTCGAACCAACAGATCCTCAAACTGTTCCAGGACCAGCTCCCACAGTGACTTCCCTGCATGAAGACACCAAGGAACACAATGAGCAGCAGAAGAATAAAGAAGAAAAAAAGAAAGGTGTGATGGATGGATGTTGGTGGAATGGATGGAGGGATGACAGTTGCATAGATAGATAGATAGATAGATAGATAGATAGATAGATAGATAGATAGATAGATAGATAGATAGATAGATAGATAGATAGATAGATATCTTACCCTCTTCGGCTGGCAATTCTGTGAGTAAAGGTAGATGGAAAAAAGAGAGAAGATGGAGAATAAGAAAAATGACGTCATTAACACCACCGGTACTTTAATTATTAAATGACATAGCAGAGCAGTGATCAATTATTTTTACTTCCCCAAGCTCTGTGTTTAATTTGCAGCAGTATTACATTGACATTTCCATTCGTACCATTTGTTCCCCATTTCTCCCTGTTCTTCTTCAGCTGCTCACAGCTCAGACCTGTAGACTCATTGACAGTGAAGAAGCCCAAAACCTCCTCCACCGTCTTAGTATGGGCATTATCCATCACTGAGGAGAGGAAAAAGAACACATGCGTAATAGAAATAAGCAATAATCTTAAATACATCACATTTAAATAAAGTATCATATTCTGTCTTCAAATCTCTTTTTTTACTAACGTGGAGACGATTATAAAACTGATCGAAAAAGTTTGTAGCATATATGTAATAATAATAATAATACATTGGATTTGTATAGCCCTTTTCCTAATGCTCAAAGACGCTTTGATGTAAACATCCTTATTTATAACAAAGAATATAGTTAGGTAATATGGCTTTAATAAGGCTGACAAAAAAGGCTGTCCGATGTGTTTTTGCTGTGTTCAACATTTTTTAAGGTTTTGCTGTTTAGGATGTTGTGAAAATTCAATGTTTTCCTCAGACTAATGTTCTTATCAGTTCTTTGTCTTAGTCATGTAACCTGATTTTCAATACAAATGCAGTATTTCAGTGTATGTCCACACTGTAATAGCCCTCTTCTTGATTGTGTAAAGAGCACACAGTGTTACAGCATCAGCTGGCTGGGGAATCAGATGTTCTGTTAGCCAGGCAACACACACACTGGAGCCTGCAGAGACACACAGGCCCAGGAGACATGGAGCTGCGTCTGTTTGTAGGATGTGCTTCTGTAAACGGATACCAAATGGCCTCAGACTTTTTAACGTAGCTCCAAACACAATTAATAGTATTCTCGGTTTTTTTGTTATACAATATTGCCTATTGACACATCCAAAGTAGCAGCTGGAACAATCCTCGAGGCCCTTGTAAACAGGTAGGGTCCATGTAAAATAATCTAATATGCTAGTTTTACCCACTGTAATTATTAACAGTGAGAAGTGCCTGTTATTCCCATGGTCCCTCCCTATTCCCTACCACCCTGGCTGTGTGTTTGCACACTTGTAATATACCTGTACAAGCTTCATAATGGATTGTCAATGTCGAATTCATCATAAAACCATATTTTCAATAGTGATAAAGGCCCTTAGACAGGTTGTTAGAGGTGGGCCTGTGTCTAAGATAATACCTCCGGAGTAACGCTGTTCATTCCTGAGCGACCGCCCTGCATTATAGACAGGAGCCAACATGATGCTAATATGTTAACAGTAATAATGAGAACACTTAAGTCATTTGCTTACCGCTAGACGTTAAACATGAAATGTAAATGTCACGTTACACACTTTAAGCTGTTATTAAGAGAAGCCTCGCCTTAATGCTAGGTATTATGGACGACATAACGGCTGATACGGAGAGACATGTTGAGTGTGCCAGCAGTTTGATATTGCTGCATAAGAAGCAGGCTATACGCTGATACCGCAGGCCATTTTTTAAATGACAGGAGAAAAACCATAACAGGCTAAAGCCTCTGAGCCACACGCTAGCAGATAGCTGGTGTTTGCAGGTGAAGCTAGCTAACGTACGCAGCTACTTTAGCGCTGCTCCGCCGTTAATCCTCGGAGATGAACAGGTTGCTTACCGGAGTGACGTCTGTCCACCGTCCCTGCACTTTCAGAATGGCACGATATATCTCAGCACCATACGCATTGAACTAAATTCCCAACAGCAACGGAAGAAAATAAAATGTAAAATTTGTTTTTACCACAAACTGTCTAGCTTTACGTCCGTTATACTGTGACAGCTAATCATATTTCCATATAAACAGCCTACGATTCCCGAGTGGTAAAAATGTTGTTTTAAAAAGAAAGTAAGGCTTATATAAGGCGAATAATTGTGTAATTATGGTCCAAGACTATGTCATACAGAAGACAGCGTTGTATTATCAATATTCGTCCAGGCTGCACTCTCTGTCTATGGGTCACTAATACCAGAGACCGAGCATCCTTGCTACTCCTACAGGCTAGCGTTACAGTAGCCAATCAAGTCAAGCTAACAGTCACATAAAACCACATCCGGTCCAAACCTTCAAAATAAACATTTGTGCCATATGCCATGATGTGATTTAAATGCACATTTCATGACCGTAAATGTATATATTTTTGTATTTAGTATTCAACGACCACAGGAAAACTGACAGCTGTATTTCTTCCGTCGCCGTCAAATTAGGGGATTTTGTTAAAAGTTAAAGTCGACAGACTGAACATTGAGAAACTTAATTAATAGAGTGGTGCAGTGATTATGTATTTTTAAAGGCAAACCTATAAATGAGATGTTTCCATTGGATTTCAGCTATTGTTAGGCTATAAACAAACTACAGCCTTTCACATGGCTGAGTAGTGTTATCACCATGGGTTATCGCGGCTAATTTTATCTACCTTGACACTTAATTCTGCGGCGTAATGAACGTGATTAACTGTATACGCGTCGTATAAAATACGAATAAACCAAATGGGAGAGCCGCAATGTAGAATGATGTTACACATTAACGAATCACGCTGTCGATTCCTCTCAAATCCAGCCCACGCCCTCTCCCCTGTCCTCAGTCTCAGCGATCTCGGGCAATCAGCGGGCGGTGCGTCTGCTGTCGGTTAACTGATGGATACGGGCTCCTATCAGGTTTGAGCTCTGGGTGATTGACGACATTGCTGTCCAATCAAAAAGGGATGGATGGGATAGGAGGTTTACGGTTTAAGAAGGTAGCCCTCCTTTTCATCCTCGTGTATTTCTAAAACAGTACCTGCAAAGTTCGTTTTAATACTATCCACAATCTATATTTTCCACAATAAAATGTATCATTACAGTCTACTACTTTCACAGAAAAATAGAACTATAACTGCATTTTGTAACACACAATAGTACAATGATAATTAATAATGGTTGTGTCCCTGTTTATGAAGAGAAACCTCAATATCAGAAACCATAGACATGTGTTTATAATCAACATTATTTTATGTTTTAATCCTCATATTCACATCTTTACTATCTCACTGACCATTAACATAGGCTAGCACAGACTTGGCCCTTTCAATGTTTCCATCTCTTGGCAGCGCTGTAGAACACTGTCACATGAACAAAGTGTTTAGCTGGGACAGTTACTGAGGCAAACTGTGTGAATGTGTAACTTTCACTTCACCAGCTTATTTCCACAGTGTCTTTCCTTCCATCTTAAAACACAACAAAGAAGAAATCAGTAGTTTGGTATACTTTTTTTTTAATAAAAAATGTTAGTATACATGTGGTGTGTAGAAAACTACGAAGAACAAATGCAAGAAAAAACCCAAACTGGAGGCTGTGTCATCTTCTGTGTCCATCCTGTAAGATGGACCTTTCCTCCGCTCCTCTTCCTCAGGTTACTCCCTTTAAATGTCCTCCTTTTAATTTGTTTTCTTCTATGTAGGTTTCTAGGGGCTTAGGGCGAAAGGTAAATCCCTCTGAGACACATTTTTACAATTTGGGTTGATATATATTAACTTGGCTTTTGTTTTAATCGGAATTATTTTCTCGTTCTGACGATGTCTTCCTCACAAAGGATAGTCCCTCCATAAGCTGAAAGATAAAACACAATCATTACTAACGAATGAACACAGTTCCTATTAATATGAACATGCATGAAACTTGCCTAGTTCAAATGCACACTCAAATTATCCATAATTACGAGTTATGAATAATGAAGAACTATATGAATCAAATATGGATAGAGTGCAAATACTCAACCTTAGTAAAAGTATCATAGCATGATAAACACATCATAACAAGTAATATTACTGACAGCCTGTGTTGCAACTTGAGTGTATGCACCATGTCAGCCATGTATCTTAGCTCATGAATAGGGTCATTCATATACATTACAAAAAGAACACATGGGCTTTAAACCAAATTCATTAGTGTGCGTTAATAAATCATGTAGAACAAGTTGCACTATCCAAATCACATCAGAGCGGCATTTTAGGGAGAGCCTAAAAAACCAGATTCAATTATGTTGTTATCATGACAACCCTAGCCATCCCACAATGTGATTTATTAAATGGCTGGAAGATAGAAAATCTGGTTTTCCTAATCAGTTGAATTGTTATGGAAAAGAGACCAGTAGCCTGCTTTTTTGTGGATGTTAACATGGTGAGTATAGGAGTAAATACAAAGTAAGCATTGTGTTTTCAAATACACTGTGTGTGTTACCTCAGGCTGTACTCGGGGTCTGTGTGTGTCTGCAGCAGCTCTCTGATCTCCTCAGGAGGGTCCAGACCATGAAGCTCTGCTCGCTCCCATCTGTGCAGCCGGCTGATCCCTGGAGAACAAAGACAGGTTTGATCAATGATTCAGTGTTTTGTGTGATGAAAAGTTGTTTTAGCACGAATGAAACTTGAAGGAAAGCAGATTAAATCAGCAATACTGATTTGTGCATCAATTAGGGCTTTCACACCAACGCAGTTCCCGTTCTAGCTCCGTGCTGGAGCTTTTCTGGTTCGGAACCGGTTTTTCTTTTCAGCCCCCGTTTTGTTCACACCGCCCAGAGCCCGACTGGTGCTGCCGCTGCTGCGTCATGACGTCACCGTTTACGTCGCTGATTTTCTCCCCAACGGCGCTCACAACAACAACAACAAGCTAGTCTCTGTGACCTTTTTACCAGTGCTGGACTATGGTGATCTGATCTATATGAATGCACCTGCCCATTACCTGATCAAGTTAGATGCCGCCTATCACAGTGCGCTGAGATTTGTTACTAACTGTAAAGTACTTACTCATCACTGTACCCTGTATGCCAGAGCAGGTTTGCCTTCACTCACTGTTCGGAGGCTCAGTCATTGGTACATGTTTATCTATAAAGCCATGTTGGGTAAACTACCAACTTATATATGCTCTTTGATCTCACAGAGAGTGGCAAGTAGCTATTGCCTGAGATCCCAGGATGTGTTTTTATTACATGTACCAAGTGCTAGGACTGCTTTAGGTACAAAAGCTTTTATGTGCGCTGCTCCTCTAGCTTGGAACACTATGCAATTTTTTGGGAAATTGAGCATTTTGGTTCCCCTGCATCATTTTAAAGCTCGGATAGATTAAATGTTATTTGATACCTGTCATTGTGAATAGGTTGTAATTTGTACCCCTGTAATTATGTTGTATGATGTCCTTTTTGTTTTCTGTTGTTTTTATGTGTAACCAATGTGCTGCAGGTCTCCCTTGAAAAAGAGATCGTTGATCTCAATGGGATTTTACCTGGTTAAATAAAGGCTACAAACAAACAAACAATGGGGGACTGCATCGGGTCGATGATCGCGTTGCTCATACGAAGTCAGATTAAATTAAATAACGACTTCTCCAACCTTATACTTTTCTCCAGAGTGCCGTGGTTCATTTAAGCAATAGCTCACGACAGGCCGTGGTATATGCTCATTATATCACAGCTAAGGGGCGTGGTTCGGCCCGACGCGAAGCGGAGGGTCGACAACTGTAGGCAGTTTGCTTTTCAGCCCAACTGTATACAGTTTTTCTCAGACGCGGAGGGATACTGACTTGTTGTGAAAAGTAACTACAATTCTACCCGTGGTATACGCTCAGTATATCACGGCTAAGAACCAATCAGTTTGCTTGATTTGACTTGTCCGTTTTATAATGTTTATTAATGTGTTTCAGCGGCATTTACTGACCGCTGCAGTGCTGCTCTTCCACGGGAGTTTATTCTCCCGTTAGCTCCGGGTTAGCTCACACGGCAGCGGCCGCTGTAAAGTATTCACTGTCTGACTGTCACACAAGCAGCTGATACATATCCCCAATTCCCCATAAGTGAATGTGTTTCAGTCTGAATTGACGCTGTTTGGCATCACAACGCTGTTATGAAAGTTTCTCTGGTATAAAATGGGTGATGTTAGCATAGCAACCGAAGCTAAACTGACTATCTTGACTACTTGTTGTTGCTATCCTATTGTGGCATAAGCCGTTTTCTACAGGCACATTTTACCGGCGTATTTTTCATTATGATTCTACTTGTGATAGTCGGACATGACAACCTGTGCAGCCCATGTATTGATTCCATCCGATAGCTGCTATAATACAAAACAAAACGTCTGCCTGCTCTCCACAATGATCAATGACAGCGAACGGATGGTACAAATAAACAGAATCACACGAAGCCTGGTTAGTGTTGCCTGACTTTATAACGTGTTTTTTTTTTATAAGTGTGTTGCGTTCTAGTCACTTTGCTCAGCGCTACTGCAACTTTCATTTGCCGTACTCGCCTTTAACTGTTAGCTCAGGTTAATCTCGCCCCCCTCCGACGTAAGCGTGATGTATGCGGTTCTTGCTTCTAGACCGACAATTTTTTGGTGCTTGAAACGAACCGGTTTCCGGAGCTTAGAGGCGGCTCCGCTACGGTGTGAACAGGAAAACGGTGCTTTTCAGGCTCTAGCTCCGAACCGGCCCTGGAACCGCGTTGGTGTGAAAGCCTTAAATATGACAGTGGAGGACTTTATCAGAACAGTAAAGGCTACACACAAAATCTGCAGATCATTGAACAGCCACTTTGTTGGGCATGCTTTTCTATTGATATGTCACTATGAGCATCACCTTTCATCACACATTATGATTTGATAAATATTGATTAGTACAGCTTAGATATATAACTGTTTCATGATTGCTACATGTTAAAACTATAATAATTAGTATTTATTTTAATAAATGTGTGTATTTTTTCTCATAAGATTACATAAATAAGTTTTATATAGTAAGTTTCGGTACAACAGTACAGGCTTATATCCAGTGGCATTTACATTTTTCTTCTAATTTAAGATTATATACAGTGTTTCCCCTAGGATGGAGTCATAGCAGTGGTGCTAAGGCACGTGGGCCAAGCATAATGTGAGCGCGGAGCGCGTGAATGTTTTTAGTGTGTGCGCGTGCGAAGTGCGCCCCGCCAATTTGTTTCTATGTGTCTGCCAGCACAAGAAAGGCTCTTGAGGCCTAGTACCAGGGCCGGTTCTAGCCAATTTGCTGCCCTAGGCGAGATTTCATATATATAGAATAAATGAAAAATCTCTACAAAAGAAAAATACACTACAAAAACAGAAACTTATTGACATAGGTAATATACGTCAAAATGGCTTCAAATGTATTCAGTATTGTATGAACATGTTTTAATTGGGGGGTGGACGTCACATCCTCTAGGGGGGTCCGGGGGTATGTCCCCCCGGGAAGATTTTTTGGAACATTTTAAAGTAAAATGCTTCAATCTGGTGCACTTTGAGCACACAATTACTAGAGACTGATCTAGGGGGTACAACTCTAAAACACCCATCTGAAAAAGATCGGTTTACATTTTAATAATCAAATAAGTATATGAACATAACCAATAACCTACCATAGCCAATAACAAATAAATGTAACTTATTTTATTTTTGTTGTTCATTTATATCTTATTTTACCAGTTAACATTTATTTATTTATGCATATTTTTGTATCTCTCCAACTTTAAACGATATGTTTGGTTTACTGTCCTATAGTATACATTGGAATGATTTCAAACCTGTTTTTATTTATCCTAATAAAGGAGTGCCTTGGAAATATGTGTTTACATAATTTGTAAATTAGGGGAAAGACTGATATAAAACATCCCACACCCATTGGCCTACTTCCAATATAACACTTTATTTTGTCTTGCTAAAAGAGGAATGAGTGTTTATGTGAATCTGTAGAGCTGTCCTTTTAATATTTTCATGAAAAACGCAGACAGTTGTCGAGGGATTAGTGTCTAAATCAGTTAAACATATAGGAACAAATTGATTTCCCCCAAAGAAATGACGGAGGTTAGAGCAGGACAAGGAAGAATTGAAAATTGAGGCTTGTTCTTGCCATGATTTGAGTTTTTGTGTTTTTAGTTTCCTGTTTTATTTTTGACATTTATCTTCTCCTTACTTCCTATGTTTCCCCTCCTGTGCCTGATTGTCTCATTGTGTTCACCTGCTGCCCCTGTGTTTCACCTCCCCCCAGCTGTGTCTTTTTTCTCTGTTAACCCTAACCCTAACCCATCAGCTTTTTTGTAAATTAAATCTCGCTTTTGGTAAAGACCACTTTATCTTGTTTTTACTGCTCTTGGTTCCGCCTTCCTGCCTAAAACCTGACAGTTCTGATGTTCTGTTGAAGATATGCTCAGTTTCACCTCAGAACAGTGGGACCCATACAATATGATATTATAAACCCTCAATATTACACTTTTAATAACTTGGATTTTAAAAATGTTCATGTGGCACATATCATATTACCACATATATATTACCAGCCTCATCCTCACTTTTCAAAAGATGATGAGAAGTTCCACAGGGGGGGTGTTAAAAATCCCAAGTCTCTCCCCTCTCTATTAGTGATGGGAATTATGGCTCTTTGAAGGGAGCCGGATCTTATGGCTCCGTTCCTTTCAAAGAGCCGTTTTTTTAAAGGGGGCGGGGTTACTAGGTTTATCTGTGAAATAATCACCAGGATAATGATTGACTGTATTTAATGTCAATAATCTGCATTGTAAACATGACACAAGGTGGCGCCATATCCATGTCATTCATGTCACTGAATGTACTACTTTGAATTTACCCTCTGTACGTGTTAAGTAAATAAAGTTGCCTTGCCTTGAATGAAATTCACGCAACTCTTAATATTAGATACTGTGCTTTTAAGTGGCGATGGAGATTATTTGTTGACCCTGCTTTAAAGGATATTTTGCCTTTACAAATGGTGCGCTTTATCACTGCCTGGGTTTTGGTTGAAGTGCATCCAAATGCTGCTGCGTTTTTGCGTTTGGCTCATTTTCCATCCGAAAAACACGTCGTCTACCTGTCCTGTACCACTTGTTATGACTTCTCTCTCTCGCGTATTCCGTTAAGACCCACCCCATCTCACTCCTCGTGCTGAAACCTACCAATCAGAGTAGGGGCGGGTCTTCACAGAATACGTTTGGGGAACAAAATCAAGCTTTTTAAAAGGCGAGTGGATTTTGGCAGGCAGTGAGTGCGGACCAACGATTGAACGATAAAAAGAACGGCTCTCACCAAGTACGACTTGGTTCCCCTCGTTCGTACCAAAGAGCCGTTCAAAAGAATCGGCTCGTTCGCGACCGACACATCACTACTCTCTGCCTGCATCACCACCTCTGTCAATCAAGTGTAGACCACTCCCCCACCAAAGTCTTTAAAGCTAAAGAAAATAGTTGAATCCTGTGGATGCATGAAATGATGTAAAATCATCCACAGCAGCGAAACCTTTGTCAACCATCATTTGAGAATAAAACGGCCTGCTGGATCCAGTGTTTAAATGTTCACACCACAAGGGATGTTCCATGAACCACAACACCAACACATGATAGTTTCTTCAGGGGGATATCAATGTTATTTTAAAGAATAATTCATGATATGCATCTGGTGGTGATTTATGTTGTGGTGTTACATTTCTATTATACAATGTTCAAATCATCTATATGTTTTATTGGACTTCTACAAGGCTGTATATGTGCTTCTTTTGTTGGAGCTAGCAGTTTCCCTCTGCCTCCACCTAGGCTAACATCATCCTGGACCTGTCTCTACTTGATGCACAAAGAAATACCAAATATCTGATCAAACTCATTTGACTCTGATTAAAACAACAAACACAGATATGTTTTTTAAAAAGTCAGATTATTCTTTAGGGCATTTCTGAAACATGACAATCAATCTGAACGTAGGATACGGTCAGTCTTTATTTGATTAAGCATGAGGCACTTGTTATAATAGAACTGGGCCTGATTCTATTACCTTTTTCATGAAAACCTGATGAAGCACTTTATTTGAAATGGATTTGACTACTCAGAGATTGTCACCCTGTACACAAATGTAAACCAGTGACAGATATTTGAGTTGACAGCACTTTATCTGTTTGGGCAGTGTGTTACCTGTGCAGGGCCCAAACCTCCAGTCCAGGTCGAAGTGTCTGAGGGTCCGCAGCTCCTCCTCCTGCAGCGTCACAGCTCCAGCCTCTGCTCCAAGGACAGAGTCAGAGAGAGATTATGTGAAATATATTTGATCTCACATCCAAGTACCAGATTCATCTAACACAGCAATGAAATAGGTAGATATTAAAGGTGGGGTAGGTCATTTTGGAGAAACCAGCTCGAGTGCGCTGGAATTTGAAAATACACAGCCGGAAAAAATCTGCCACTTCCTTACAGAGCCCCTCCTCCAACACACACGAACGCGTACATGACCAATGAGGGCACGAGATAAGTTTGTGCACAGATGGAAGGCTGACAGGCAGGTAGGCCATCCAGTTATTTTAGCCGGGCCGGCTAAAATGATTGGTCGTGCTTTTTACAGCACTACGGCTTCCACAGATACAAAATTGTTATGGATTTTTTGTCAAAGCACTTATGATATTCATTGCTATCGGGATGTTAAGAGCATTCCATGGAATATAACAAAAAGTGTATCTCGTGCCGGTTTCTCAAACTTACCTACCCCACCTTTAATCAATATAATTAAGCAATAGCTCACGACAGGCCGTGGTATATGCTCATTATATCACAGCTAAGGGGTGTGGTTCGGCCCGACGCGAAGCAAGCAGTTTTGCTTTTCAGCCCAACTGTATACTGTTTTTCTCAGACGCGGAGGGATACTGACTTGTTGTGAAAAGTAACTTACAATTCTACCCGTGGTATACGCTCAGTATATCACGGCTAAGAACCAATCAGATTGCTTGATTTGACTTGTCCGTTTTATAAATATCTAATATATTTTTCCAAAAACACTGCTATATTTAATATAAACTGGACATCAGGTTTTCATTTCCATAAAGGCTACTGTCACATTGTGAATTTTATAGGACACACCAACAGTATGCAGGTATCAGTCGATAGACACCTAAAAACTAAAGGTGACATCAAACTCAAATATAAATGTATATGAAAATGTGAATATGTTTTTCACAGTCTTTCTGTTTCACTGAGGGGAGAATATGAACACACACACACACACACACACCACACACACACACACCACACACACACACACACACACACACACACACACACACACACACACACACACACACACACACACACACACACACACACACACACACACACACACACACACACCACACACACACACTCTTTACCTTGGTGTGTCGGAGGAGGTGAAAGGGGTCTCTTAGCTTTTCTCGCCCCTCTCTTTGCTTTCTTCACCACCTTGAATGAATCGGTTATCAGCCGAGGCTTGGTTGTCATGGTGACTGATCTGAAACACAGGTGTTTGGATGTTTTTGAGCAGATTATTATTGCATCAGTTCTTCTCTTATACTTAGGAAAGTTTTCTTCCAAATTTTAGTTAGTACCAGTTTTTAGCTCCACAGAGTACTTCTGCCAAAAAGTCATTTAACCACATTTTAAATTAACTTTAATGCAAATGAATTGACCTCTAGTATCAACTCTTCGTGCATGGACACTACCCTGTATATTTCACACTTAATATAAACAAACATATTACACGTCTGAGCTGGTCACACATGGTAAACCTTTTTATTTGAATGTACAAAGCAGCCTTTGGTTGTCAAGTCTTACGTTAAAATCAAAATGATTATTAATGATTAAATAAGTCATGTTATTTTATTCCTGCAGGGTTTAGCTATTATTTTTGGCCTTTCCTCATTACCATGAACCTACATGATGTTTAGCAGGAAACACACTATCACTAATCTAATATACAGCTTCCATTATGTTTGTTATTGCTTATAAATAGCATTTGACACACATCTTCACACTTACGTCTCTGCAAACGTACAGGTTACACGCGGAGGTGGAGAAGTACTCAGATCTTGTACTTGAGTAAAAGTAGAAGTACCACAGTGTAGAAATACTCTGTTACAAGTAAAAGTTATTACTCTGAAAAATGTTTTCTACTAAAGTACAAAAGTATTAGCATCAAAATATAGTTAAAGTACCAAAAGTAAAAGTAGTCATTGTGCAGATTGGTCCATTTCAGAATAATATATATGATATGTTTTATAATGATTGATCATTAAAGTGTTCTCAAAGCTGGTAAAGGTGCAGCTAGTTTGAATGACTTTGTATACTGCAGGGTAGCTTGTGAATTTACTCCAGGTGGAACTAAAGTCTGATTTAACACTTGATTACATTTCACATCATTCATCCACATCTGTAAAGTAACTAAAGTTACAACAACAAAAAGTAAAGAACCTCAAAAGTGTACTTAAATGCAAGTATAATAGTAATAGTAATAACTGCTGCTTTGTGAACAGGTCGATGCTGACACTCCTTGCTTCTTCACCTGAATCATGTCGTTATTTTGAAAGGACGGTCAAATGCAGTTATAACAACTTTACACTACTCTTCAAAAAATGTTATTCCATTACATTTTAATCGAGTTATCCTATTCCAGACAGATAAGCGTCCCAGTAGGCTATGCTAATGTTACCTATGGACAGTGAAAGCTGCAGTAAAAGATCTTACGTGTCATATTACGCTATAATAACGTTGTAATAACCGTCCTGTTTCAGCAGGTTTCTGTTATCAGTCTGCTGAACTCACCTTAGTATTTGGACAATAAAAGCTTAAAAGATTACATGTGTTCTACCATCCAATCTGCACAAAAGACAGACCAAAACAATGATGACATGTTCTTCTTCTGTCTCTTCCAGGGTGCGGTACCGGGCCCTGCACTGCCGCCTGCCGGTATCTGCCCGCTACTACAGGGAAGCAGTAGGTTACCAACGTGAAGCATGGATGTATAATAAGACGTGAAGCCCCCATGGATGTATGTATGTAGAGGAAGCCATAGATATATATAAACATATATATATCTATGGAGGAAGGCCCCCCAAGCCCCCAGGAAGTGCGCCGGACTCTGAGGAAAATATTCGTTGTGGTCAACGGCGGTACTACACTTCCGTATAGGTTGCTGGGCCCGGAAAATACTTTTCCCAGAGCCAGAGCCATATCATAGAAATACGACCAAGAATGTGAGACAACTTTATACAAATTCATATCACATCCCATTACTGATGGCCATTTGTCATACTTTGTTAAACTCACAAATAATAAAGTTCCATAACTTCAGTTGGAAACAAAGACCACACCCTTATCTCCCCAAGGCAATTTCCATCCAATAGGTGTGCTATATAGGTGTGTATAACCCTTTCTCCTGTCTGTTTCTCCCCTCTTTCAGCACAAGAACCAGAGGGGGATTCAATAGAGCCTGAATACCTGCACTGAGACCCTCACCCTGCACCCTGAGTCTCAAACTCTCAGAGTTTTTCAAGCCTTTCCCTGTTATTTGTATTAAACCAAACATTAAGCTTTCCCAATGGTGTGGTCTTCGTTTTGTGAAAAAGTGCAAATGCAGTGTTTGAATATGATTACCTCACATATTTTGTTGCGGCTGTCTGTTTTTGATTGTTAAATTGCTCCTGCTGACTTGAGCTAGCCATTTTTCCTCCTCTCCTGTGTCAGTGAGGAAGCCGTACATTCTGATTCTAACTCCTTTTTCGAAACGATTGGAGCATCCCCAGGCAGCACAGCAAACCATGGTGGAGACTATATGCCAGGACAACACGGAGGAAAAGGCACAGACAACTGCAATGACATGCTATGTCAATGTTTATTGAATTCCATGTATTTACAATGGATGTCCTAAAACAACACTTTTAAACGTCATAATCATGTTACTGCTAGTACATGATAGTCACACTGTTGGTCTCCTGTCCTTTCTGAAAGTCATAAAAATTACATTAGTCATTTAGATTACTTATGTCCTCAAGTACCATGGGATTACTGAAACCACCATGAATTAAAAAAGGTAGAAATTAATCTAATCTAAATTTTGAAGCATTCCTTGCCATCCCCTCCCTCTAAATATATCAATAAACATTAGGAAGTGATGCACCTGACTACCATACCTGTTTAAGAAGATAATATTGTTTTAAATAATTCAAAGCAATACACAACAGCAACAGGCTCTTTAAACAAGGCAACGTTAGCCTAACATGAATATGTTAACAAGTAAACTAGCTGTTCACACTATTCCTAATATTATCCATAAATATTAGCAGATTCTATTTTATTTTTAAAACATATTGATGTAAATACATACACATATCGGTATGTTGTATAAATATTGCAAATCAAAACCTTTATTCACTACTTATTACCAACAATCGTAGTTCTATCTCCGGTAATCATGCATTCAAATGTCCCGCTACGAACTTCCGGGGAACTATTGACTCTCCCTGAACCACGTGACGATCAAGCATTTTGGACTTCCGTTGTTGTAACTCTTCTATCTATAGAGTGGCGAAGTCCCTCCCCTTCCGGTGGACCTACATGGGACCTTATTTCGGAAAAATTATGTATTGAAGTCAATGGGAGAGAAAGATTATCTTTCGATTCCGTTGAATTGTGCCACGAATTACACATATGATGTTTGTCAATTTAAAAGATAATTTTGCAAGTTAAAAAAAAAAAAAAGTGTCGTAAAACTGTGAAGTAACACATTTGTTTGTGTGAAACGCTCAATGAACTACATCTCTGGTCTCGCAGACTCGCACAACAACACACGTCACCAAGATGGCCGTCACTACTGTCTTGTCAACAAAACGATTGACTACCCTCACTATCAACACAATGAAACACGTCCAGAAGAATGTCATGCAAAGCTGCCTGCCTGCCTGCTTTGATTCTCTCTGAACTGCCTGGTCTTTTTAATGTTTAATGTCAACCATTTGTGCAGATAGCATGAAGTGCAAAAGATCGCCGATGCTAGCGTTAGCGTTAGCATTTCTCCCCCGGTCTTAAAGTGTGTATTATAGAATGATCACACCGGTGACAGTACTCTTCAAAGGGTTCACGAAATATGACTACTACTCTTACTGTTTAACATTTTGGGTTACTTAATGTTACTTCATGTTAAGGCTAATACAAATGACAAGGCTGTAATGCTAACTAACGTGCTAACTACTAGCTAGGTAGCTAACTTGATCCAGACACTCCTGGTCCTTTCATCAGACGGGAAGCGAAAGAACGAGCAAGACCCATTGCTGGTATGATAACAACCTGGTACTAAGCACACAGGCATCTTGTTAAAGTTATCTTATCTTAGCCAGCGCCATATAGATAGAGTATATCTATATGGCGCTGATCTTAGCTATCTCTTAGTGGAGGAAAACAATTGTGACATCACTTACGCGACTCTGGGATTTGTAGTCTTTGTCACGGCCCAAACTGTGTCCCTGTGTGTCCCTGTTTGTTCCCCTGTGTGTGTGGAGGGGGTGTGGTTTCCCTTGCAGGCAGCAGCCTGATTGCACTCACCTGCCGACCGGCTCAGCTGTCCCTCAATCAATCCAATCAAGACACAGCATATCTACTCCAGTCCCCAGCAACTCACCGCGCAGGAGTCACAGCACATGAGTTGGACTGTTCCGGGATCGGCCGGAAGAAGGAAGTGAAGTTGGAGACGCGTGGCAGAAGTTCACAGAGAATCGGAAATTCGGATACATACAGAAACGGTAGCATTGGACTGTTATTTTGGCGATTTGCATAAACTGTACATTGAGTGTTTTCATCATGTCAACCAGCTCAGATGGTAGCCAAAGAAACAATATGGAATGGATGATAGCCAAAGCTGCGAAGAAGAAAAGATCTTGAGAGACAGAGATAGTTCAGTAAGAGCTCGAAGTTGGTCGGATTGGTCGCGTGGACGCAGACGAGGCTAAGCAAACAAAAAATCAAGAGTCAGTCAAAATGACAGTCAAGCAATGTTGAATAAAGAAATAGAACACGAGTGGAAAGTGGTAATAGAATTCATCAGGATGGTGGGCATTACCACCCGATATTAAACTTACCCAAAGCAATTGAAAAAGAGATTGGAAAAATTAAATTTGCTAAATTCATGAACAATAAGCGGGTATTGATACATGCCAATACAAACAGCAGCAGGAAAAGATTCTGGGAATGAACTCACTGAAATGGGGAGAAAATGAAGTGCGCATGTTCCAGGAGCAATGGCGAACTGAGAGGAGTAATCTCAGGAGTACCATTGGACATGTCATGGAAGATGTGAAAAGTGAATTAAAAGGAGGCAAAATAGTGGAAGTCACAAGGCTTAAAAGCAAACGGGATGGTACACTCAAAGAAACATTATCAGTTCTCATTCAGTTTGAGAGAATCTTACCTAAGGCAGTACAAATGGGATATTTGAACTTCATGGTTAGGGAGTACATCCCAAACCTCTCAGGTGCTACGCAATGTCAACGAATGGGGCACACAGCGCAGCAGTGTAAAGGACAGCTAAGGTGTTGCGAGATGCGGAGGAAAAACATGAGTATGGAAAATGTGAAAAGGATGCAAAGGTTAAATGTTGTAACTGCGGAGGAGATCACAGTGCTGGCGTTTGGAGGTTTGTGCAAGTGCAGAGAGAGGCCAGAGAGGTTGCAGAGAGATTAAGATTACAAACAAAGTTTCATACGCAGAAGCATAAAGAAAGTAAGGGGAACAGTAACAATCAATAAGAACCCTAGTGGAATGGAGCAGAGCATTACAATACAAAATGTCAGGAACACACCAAAAAGTAATCTTCAAATCCAACCCCACAGCGCCACCAAGAGTAAAGAGGATGATGATGTTTTAGGAGTGAAAAAGGTGAATTTTGTGGTATTTATATGCCATACTGTTAAAATGTTTGCATTGCAGTTAAAAAGAAAAGTGATAGAATCAAAGACCATTTTGAGGCAGCTGAAAATTCCTTGACATGAAAGATATTAAAGCAGATCAGATACATGCAATGCTAGACTATAAATGGAGCTGGGGAAAATGAAAATCAGGATGAGGGTTAGATCCTTAATCATGGTGCTGCACATACTACAGTGGAACGCAAGAAGCCTCATAGCTAATGGTCAAGAATTCAAGAAATATATATATGATCTAGAGGTAGTCCTGAGGTAATATGTGTGCAAGAAACCTGGTTACGACCTCAATAGACTTGTCATTCCAGGATTTAGCGGTATAAGGCATGATAGAGATATAATCAACAAATGGTGGAGGGTGTGCCACGTTTCTCCAAAGATGGTGTGGCATATAGGGAGGTGCAATCTCCTGATGATATAGAGTGTATTATAGTGGAAATTCTGCAACCCTAGGAAACAAGATAACATTAGGATAATCAATTTATTACAACCCATGTAAAAATCTAACCACTGATATATTTAAAGAAATAGCAGGGCAATAAAACGATAGGAAGCGAATGTTTGGTGTGGCCTGATTTCAAATGCATCACAAGTCTATGGGGGCAGCAAACCATACAGACAGTAATTGGAAATATAGTGGAAGAAATGCTGGAGGAAAGAACACTAGTATGCCTTATGATGGACATGGCACAAGAGTAGATGTACACAGGGGGAAAGTATCATGCCTGGATCTGACATTAGTGTCAAACTGTTTGGTTCATTACATGCGAATGGTTTGTTTTTGAATAAATCCACAGTAGGAAGTGACCATTATCCAGTGCTTACTAAAATGAATACTAATGTGTATATATACAGGAAGGAGGGCAATAACCAGGTGGTGCTTTGCTAAAGATGATTGGACGGAAATTTAGGAGTATGGGTGTGAGGAGTCGGTACACCTGCTAACATCAAGAGGGAAGCATAGAGGTCATTAACA